TCGTTTCGAACAACCTCAATTGCGGAAGACCTCTCCTTCCTACAGACTGTGGACCCAGCTCCGGCTCTAGCATCAGAGCTTAAACGTTTGAGAGAATCTAACTTCAGTCATGCGTTGAAGGACTCTAGCAAAGCCTCGCTCGTTAAACGTTCCCTTTTGTCGGTCACTGATGACTTTTCTTATACAGGACGAGAATTCGAACACAGACGGGTGAACAAGTCAGAGTTGGTCGAGTGCGAGCTTGCAGGGGAAGTTTTCACTTTGGAAATTCAAAAGTACCCCCGGGCTTACATGTCGTCTTTGAGAGAAGGTGCGCCTCAGCCTACAATAACTGATCAATCTACTCTCCCAGGAATTCCGGATCCTTCGCAGCGCACTGATAATAGGTTTTACTACGAAGACGTGAACCCACTAACAGACGTTACGTGCGCTACCCACTCTTACGGCGTGCAAGACCAAGACTCCCCAGAGATGTGGAGGGAGATTGTAGCTTACCTGAAGAACGACACTTTGCCTGCGCGCTGTGAAGATCCTGTCAAGAGGAAATCATTCATTCGACGGACAAAAGGATACTTCTTGCATGAAGACGATCGCCTTTGGAAAATCAAAACCCAAGGGAAGTTACCGCGTCTCGTAGTAATGGACATTGACCGCCGTTCTTCTCTGGTAGCGGAAGCTCATAATGGTGTAGGCCACCGAGGGCGTGATGCCACTTACAAGACACTTTCCGAGCGTTATTTCTGGCCGAACATGTATGACCAGATCGCCTACTTCATCAGGTCGTGCAATGTCTGTCAACTCCGTTCGAAAGCTCGTCCAAAGGTCGCTTTCAGCCCGACTTGGAACTCAGGAATTCTGCGACGATTCGATTTAGATACGATTCATATGCCTGACGGCTTTGGTGGAATGAAGTACTTACTTCAGGCAACAGATCCCTCAATGTCGTGGGTTGAAGCGCGAGCGACTCGCAAACCGAATTCGGAAGCCTGGGCAAAATTTCTTTATGAGGAAGTATATTCACGCTTTGGCTGTGTCCTCCTTTGTCTCGTTGACGGCGGCTCAGAGTTTAAAGGCGCTGTCGATATTCTTTTCAAACAGTATGGTATCGTCGTCATCGTTTCTTCGCCCTACCATCCTGAGGGTAACGGTCATTCGGAACGCTCGCACCAAACACTAGTTAACTCGATACTTCGTGCCTGTGGAAAGGACACATTCCGTTGGCCACTCTATGTCCACGCGGGACTTTGGGCGATGAGGTGCTCTACATCTCGAGTAACCGGGTATCCCCCTTATTTTCTGCTTTATGGTCAACGTCCGTTTTTCGCTTTTGATATTGCAGATAGGACTTGGGACACGCTTGACTGGCATACTGTTGCATCGACTGAAGATCTCCTGGCAATGCGTATGCAACAGATTCTTCGCCGGGACAAGAAGTTGGTTCTTGCTATGGAGCAGCAAAAACGCGTGCGCCAACGGGCGGTCGACGACTTTAACAGTAAGCACGAACGTCATTTATCTTCTGGAAATTTTCTTCTTGGAACTTGGGTTCTGTTGCATGAGACTTGGCTGGATTCCCAGATGGGAAATAAAGGCGCGTTGCGGTGGACAGGGCCTTATATTGTCCATCGAAAAGTTCAGGATACCACTTATCAGCTTCGAGAACTTGATGGTACAGTAATGCGAGGATCAGTCGCTGCTAACCGTTTAAAGATTTTCTATTACCGGGAAGAACACCAGACGGTTAGGACAGTTGAGCCCACCGAATACGCACTTCACGTCGCCGCCACTACATCTTCGTCTTCTCAAGCTTCCGTCATCATAGGCACTTTAAATCAACCCTTGCTCGTTATGCCCCCTTTCCCAGTTTCTATCAAAGTCGGGATCGCCGTTCTTCCTGAAAATCGTTCGCTTTCGTACCTTCCAGTTTTTACGCCGTCGGCTTTCACGTCTCAGCACCTTCACCATGGCTATTATCCCAATATCGCAGAGCTCGATCCCACGGACAACAACCCCGTTCGATATGTTCGCTACACCGCTTCATCAAGTGTTTTTCAAGGTCATATTCATGAAACTCTCCTTGAAGATTCAAACATTCGTGACCTCGAGTCTTGGGCTCTCGACGCTCTTCCTCTCCGCTGAGTCTTTTCTTAGATTTTGACTTTTCCCATTTTTTTAAAATTTTTCTCGAAACGATGGGGGCATCGTTTTTAAAACTTTTCCTTATTGTGGAAGTGCATCACGTTCCATTCACGACGCCTTCTGTATTTTTCTTTTTCTTTCTTATTTTATGGTTTTACTTTTTATTTTGTTATTTGTATTTTACTTGTTCATTACTGAATGTCGAGAGTGAGTGTAGCGTGTATTTTCTTAGGGATCAAGGAGAAAGACCGAAGGTTGTGTGGCATCCGGTCACTGGCGGCAAGAACGGATTAGATGACATTATACGTCGAAGCGCTCGCCGCGTCGCCCAACAATGCGCACCCTTGAAGGAATTGGTCTTGGAAGTTTTCCTGGAATCGTACGCCTACATTCAATTTTAGTTTTTCTTTCTTTTGCATTTTTTTTCTTACTTACGACAGAACCTTTTCCGCTCGACGCGTTTTCCGATGGCTAGACGGTAGGGTTGAGCATCAATGTTAGGGATGTCCGCACTGAGGTCGGCAGTCGCGCACGAAAATAGACCTCTCCCTACATTGTAAGTTCCCCGAGTCATTCCTAGTCTGACGGATTTGCGGAGAGAGGTGAGGGTGAAGTCAGCATTGTTTTGTTTCTTTGTGATCCTTTCTATTTTTATCGCTATTTTTAGACGCTTCTCGTTTATTTTTGGTCAGGCAGCATGCGAGTACGTGCGTAGCCTTGTGATTGTTTGTAACGTATTTAAAAGGCTCTTCGCGTGTTTGAAATCGATTCCCCCCCCCCATCAGACTCTCGAGCACGTTTAAAGTTTTTAAGTTTTTACAAGTCTTTGTCCAACTCACTCTGTCTTCTTTCGACGACGACACACTTCAAGAACCTCTCTTTTTACCTCTCACGCATTCTCAAGACGCATACATTCGACTCGACGCGCATACGTACATACGGCGATTAGACGGCGACATCGAGCGCGATCACACGCCACTCACGATAAGCGCCCGATTCTTATTCTCCCTTTGTTCTCGTTTTCTTTGTTTCTCACTCTCTTTATCTTTTTCTGTGGCAGACGACCAGTGACCCCTCCCTGTCCTTGAACTTTCGTTCTTCCACAGCGGCCCTCACAAACTTGCCCTCCTTTAATCCATTCGGACGCCATTGAACTATCTTCACACCGGTCGGCCAGCAGCTGGATAAAGCGGTCAAGAGGCGGTGTATATAAAGATGATCAAGGAAGTGGCAGTTCTCTATAACGAGGAGTCCTCGGTGGCTTAGTCTCGAGGGAGTCACTCTCCAAGTCACTTTCGTCATAAGACTCACAATAGGGCCGAAATTTACCCATCATTTTGAGGTTGGCGATTCTGATGGTCCAAGATCCATAGCAATAAAGCACATCTCCAAAAATGACTTTGTACTTTGAGCTCGGATATTGTTCTCTGTACACCAAATATTTCAATATCGTTCTCACTGTGTGGAAGATAACGTAATGCAGATGAACATGGGAGGTTATGAAGCTGAGGTGTGGATATGGAAATGAGTGTGTTTGCGCTGTCGTGACACCCGCGTCGTCTGTAATGTGGTGTGCGATGGGAACTGACACCATGTCATTCAGTGCCAGGATGGTGTACCTGTAGTATGGTTCCTGCAAAAGGTGAATCTCAAATGAAATCGATAGTTCAGAAATAATAGCACCCATGGAGGTCTTTGGCGGAACAGACATTGGATTGCACCTGCCACAAAGATAGAGATCAAGTAGTATGTGGGGTTTGGGAAGGAGAAACCATTTTCCCTCGTTGAAGAGACTGCGAAGTTTAGATCCAACTGTTTGCTCTACAATTCACCTTTGGATAGTAAAGTAGTATCGAAGGACAACACACGAAGGACAGAGTTGTAGCGCATGTGCAAATTCAATGTCCCAGGTTTCTTGATCCATGAATACTCCACATGATTGATGTCCTAAAAGTCATTTATTTCCATCAATTTGCATGACAATGGAAGGAGAACAACTTCGCTAGAAATCTCCGTTAGAGAGATAAGATGAACATAGCCAACAGATTCATCAACATTCTCAAGCATACACTGGTGTTCTGTGGGGGTGACTTTTGCTATCCTCTTTGTAAGGGCCAAGCAGCACGCCAGGCCTGGTTTGCTGCACTTTTCTCCAGGTAGTCCTTGACAACTTCCAGCATTCAATGGGCTCATATTGTGATTAGTATGGATGAACAGGGCACTGTTGCATTGGTGCCAGTGGAGGAACTTCCACATTACATAAGTAAATCATCGTGGCTTTGAAGCTGGTTGACGACAAAGGCTTTACGCTGGGCTATAATTTCAACCCAGCCATACTTAGAGCTATCTAACTGAATACAAGTACAAATCTAGTATTGCAATGTAATGAGAACACATTGAATCAAGAAAAGTCCAGCATCCGACAGCTTTTTGGAAGCCATAGTACTATTTGACTCAAGGGGTATGCACCGGTGATGATTGCCAGCATATGGGGTGGGAAGGGGGGCAGGGTTTACGCTCCTGCAGTGGAACCACTTTTTCAACTGATGGGCTCTGACCACGTCCTGACGGGCTCTCAGCCCATCCTGATGGAACTACAAAAAAATTTAACTGGGGCCTCTCTCCCCTTACTTACATCCATCTAGATCTGTAGCATAATGTATCTTAATCTTTATCTCATCCAACTCCTGCAAGATAGTCTCCATATCAACCAAAAACTGAATTTTGTCCCAACAGGGAAACACTCACCTTGTAGTTAAGAAATGAAAGCTTTTCATTTAGCTACTCACACCTTGTCTACTCATTTGTGGCTCCATTGGGGTGTCAAACTGGAATTGATGGTTCTGTTGGGGATGTCTCTGTCAGGGTGTTTGACATTGAGATTGAAGGCATGTTTCCGTCGGGGTGTTTGACATTGAAATTGAAGGTGCCACGGGGGATGTCACTGTCAGGGTGTTTGAGGTTGAGATTGAAAGCGCCGCAGAGGATGTCGCCGTCAGGGTGTTTGACATTGAAATTGAAGGTGCCGTGGGGGATGTCTCTGTCAGGGTGTTTGTCATTAAAATTGAAAGCACTGCGGAGGATGTTGCCATCGGGGTGTTTGAGGTTGAGGTTGAAGGTGCCACGGGGGATGTCTCTGTCGGGGTGTTTGACATTGAAATTGAAGGTGCCGCAGGGGATGTCACCGTCAGGGTGTTTGAGGTTGAGATTGAAAGCGCCACGGAGGATGTTGCCATCGGGGTGTTTGAGGTTGAGATTGAAGGCGCTGTGGGGGATGTCTCCATCGGGGTGTTTGACATTGAAATTGAAGGTGCCGTGGGGATGTCTCCATTGGGGTGTTTGTCATTAAAATTGAAAGCACTGCAGAGGATGTTGCCATCGGGGTGTTTGAGGTTGAGATTGAAGGCACTGTCGGCAATGGCCCCATCAGGGTGTTTGACATTGTGTAAGATGGCCATATGCACCGCAATGCAACCACTACACCAAAAGGTCGTATAAGTGAAAGATTACTCTTTCACCTACCGGTGCATATATAAGGTAGTGTAGACAGCTGTATTATCTAATACAGCCTTACACCCTCCCCCACTCTATAACATCAACCGGGACCTTCCGATATCTAGTTGTTGTGGGGAGTTACCATATAGGTGACCCCAGGGGATCACACCCTGCAACTTGTCACTTACGACTACAGTTGGTGAGGTTAACCTGCTGGCAATGTAATGTTGCCACCCGCTCGGTTTGAACCGCCAACCTGCTGACAAGCCGTAATCTTTCATGCAACCACTACACCAAAAGGTCGTATAAGTGAAAGATTACTCTTTCACCTACCGGTGCATATATAAGGTAGTGTAGACAGCTGTATTATCTAATACAGCCTTACACATTGGAATTGAAAACATGACCTCCACAATATGGTCATCTGTGGCATGATCTTGAATACGTCAAGTTAGCAGAGCACTTTATTGACTGTGGCAGAGCATTTGATTGACACTGACAGGGAATTGAGAATTCAAAATGTTGACTCCTGCAGGGCATTTGATTGACTCCGACGGGGCATTCAAAATTCAATATGTCAGCTCTGGCGAAGCATTTATTCAAGATAGAGGAGTCAATCCACTACAGCATTTTTAAGCTGGTGCCCAGATCATCCATCCATATGAACTGAAACATGCAATGGCTTGGAATATGTGATTTGCAGAAACAAGAAATATATTGTCAAGAAATCAACGCACAATATTGATGAAAGGTCCTGCTAGTAGCCATGACAAATCCTCATAATACAAAAGAAAGATCCACTGAATTGGAGGTCAGATAGTTGAGGTGTGCACCATTTAAGTAGAACAACTCTGGCAGCCTGCCTTACCAAATATGGGCCAGCGGCAACCTACACCTCAAACAAGGGACAATCGGGCAGTGAAGCGAAGCATTGGACAGATTCCCTGACAAATTTATCATTTTTGCACCTTGTATGTAATTAGGTCAAATAAATGCAACAATTTTTATTTTGACAGTATATTTGCCAATTGTTCAAGGGGGTTGACACAATAAAAACAATTAATATGCTTATTGTTTAAATTTGTCCACAACTCTGTTCCCTAGGCAAAGCTTTTGTTAAAAATTAAAGTTTTGCCTCATGCCGAAGAGACAAACTGAATTGTTCCTGAAATCCATTCCATTGACAAATTTTAATTCTTAACAGCCTTTTGTCCTCTGGATGTACCTTACAACACATTTTTAAAATAGTAACAACAATTTTTTTACATTTGGACATCGCCTTCGCACAATAGGCAAACACACTATCAAAATAAAAAAATTCCCATAGGTCTGTTTTAATTATATAACAGGTGCAAAAATGATTAATTTGTCCTAGAATCTGTCAAAGACTTCGCTTAACTGCCCGATCATCCTTTGTTTAAGGTGCTAATATGGAAGGAGCACATTATTCACACACCATCTGAAACTACGCACTGTGCCGCGCTCATAGGTGATGCAATGTGCCAACAAAACAAAGACATTGGGGGGATCCCAGAAAGGAATAGAATCATTTGGAATAGTTTTCTCAGTGATTGAAGAAGTTTTTGTGAACAGACCTCAGAAAGAGCTATTTGGTGCATGAATCTTTATACAAACCAGTTGCACAACATGCCATTTTGCATACATCAAGTTATATTTTTTTTTCTTCCCTCACAACTGCTTCCCCCACCTATCTGAATTGATTCTAAAGTATGTAGGCTATATTTGGGGAAAGTATGGGAGCATTTCAACAAGATTTAGATAGTGAAAGGAAATAAGAAAGAATGTGGTTTCATGTTTAGAGTCATATTTTCACCCTTTCAAGCTCCAGCTCCCCCAAACCATCAGAAAACTGCTTTGGAGCAGGGGATATATATTCTGCCATATGTTAACTATGTATAAGAAAGGCTCAGATGTTGAGATTTGGTAGCAAAGTATACAGAAAAGTCAACAATATCATGTTGCGAGATATTTCATGCATTCAACCTCATTCTCCACCATGCGCCAAAATTCTTTTCCAAAGTAAACTTGAACCTATTTTACAACAGTTATAAAAGATGTATTGAGAAGCTATAACAGTACAGCTCATTTTTTTCCCCCACAACTCTGGCGGGGCATTTCATTGACTCTGTCAGGGCATGTAAAATTAAATATGTTGACTCCTGCAAAGCATTCAATACACTCCGATGGGGAATATAAAATTTGAATTGGGTGGGAGACAGTTGATTGACTTTCATGGGGTATTTAATTCACTCCATTGAGGCATTTAAAATTAAATATGTTAACTTCTGCAGGGCAGTTTATTCACTCCAACGGAGCATTTTATTGACCCCATCGGCGAATTTAAAATCAAATATTTTGACCCCGCGGCGATTTAATTCACCCCGACGGAGCATTTTATTTACGCTGTTGGGGCTTTTAAAATTAAATATGTTAACTCCCATGGGGCAGTTTATTCACTCCGACAGGGCATTTTATTGACCCCATCAGCGAATTTAAAATCAAATATGTTGACCCCGCGGCCATTTAATTCACTCCGACAGGGCATTTTATTCATGCTGTCAGGGCATATAAAATTAAATATGTTCTCTCACAGGGCACTCCTCCAGGGCATTTTATTCACTCTGTCATGAAATTTAGAGTCAAATATGTTGACCCCCACGGCGCATGTAGTTTACTCCTCCAGGGCATTTTATTTACTCTGACAGGGTATTTTAAATCAAATATGTTGACTCCCATGGGGCATTGGGTTCACTCCTCCAGGGCATTTGAAATTGAGTATGTCAACTCTGGCAATGCATTTACAATGAAACATAATAACCCCTCAAGTCAATCAAATTCTTCATGGAGTCAAAATAGTCAAATTTAAATGCCCATGGTGGTTGACATACTCAACTGTAAATTCTCTGCTGGAGTGAATCAAATGCCCTGCGGGAGTTGAAATAACCGCCCCATTGGAGTCAATCAAATGCTTAACCAGAGTTGACATATTCAATTTCAATAGATGCCATTGATTAATATTATGGACACAGGTAATTTACCATTAGAGCAGGTTGGGGTATATACAGCATGCTTTGCTGACCAGCAGCTGTGTGGTAGCGCAAGTAGCTTAGGGCAGAGGTTTACAATTAGCTACTACTGATAGAAGCAAACAGTACAACATCAAAGCAGGTAACAGTATTACAGTTGTTCTAGTAAAGATTGGGGAACTATGGTGTGATGCCGACGGGACACCCAGAAGGCTGCTGTAGGTAGCTGCCGCGGCAAGAGATGCCGTGCCCGCAAGCCATTTGTATGCATCCGGCTGGTCCATTGGTAAAGGGATGTTTTGAAAAGTCTGGCCGGGACTGGCTGGCCTGTTCATTACAAGCCATTGTCATGTCTGGCTACTATGTTTGGTACGTGACACTCAGTAAAAACGAAAGTCAGGTGTTGGTCATATAGTAGTCACACCACTGCACAAAATTGTATGACATGACTAAAAGCAGTGAATTTTACAAAATTTTGACTACAACTCGACTTCACCAAGTTGTGTCAATTCATGGACTATGAAGCAGTGACTACATGACTGGTCTTGGACTGGTCATAGACCTTCAGGTGAGGGCAACTAGACTAAGTAAAGACTACCAAATGACTGTATCATGCATATATTTGGCATCAGGCAAGGAAACCACACGACTTGGTGAAGTCGACTTAAAGTCAAAATTTTGTAAAATTCACTGCTTTTAGTCATGTTGTACAATTTCATGCAGTGGTGTGACTACTATATGACCAACACCCAACTTTCGTTTTTACTGAGCGTGACATAGTGACTGATATATGTGACGGCTATATGTTAGCGCAGCCGCCTGAATGGTGTCATGCTAGGCAGCGTCATCACACACAGTGAGTCAATGTTTTTGTATAAATTCGCAAAAGCTCATTGAAACGATAATCCTCTCTGTAGAGTCCCCATCCAATATGCCAAAGGTGCATAAAGGCCTAAAGGTATGCCACTGTACATTCAGAGAGATGGCCCACAAACAATCAATAGGGACCTACCAAGCACAATGTGTCAAGCACTCATTGGTGCCAGGAGTGCAAAATTTCTGTAGGACTCAGCTTTGCCGGTGAGAAGAACTGGACACAACCAGGACACAACATACTGAAAGTGCAGCTCATAATTTCATGGAAATTAATTTGTAAACACGTGATTTATTTCCTTTTTAGGAAGGCTGGGGTAGGGGGGGTGGGTCTATGAGTCCTTATCATAATAAAACAACCCCGTGTACGGGGATTTTTTTCTGCGTACCCCTTGAATTGACTCGGAGTGCCAGCAGAATCGAGCAAAAGTAGTTGGAAAAAATCCGTTGCAAGTATCAAGCCAGAAGAGGCCTAAACTTCAGTATCTCACCAAAATGCGCCGCGCGCTCTCCCAGTGAATCGAGGCAACTTGGTGAGTGTTGCAAAATCCCTTCACTAAGACCGTGGACTCGGAAGTCGAGGCAGAATGTGCCTGCAAAACCAAAATCTGATGTCCAGCCGCAATTCACTGTAGGGTGCAGCTTTCACAATGTTATTGTAACTTAAACGGCGTCAGTTAAATATTGAAATTAGTGAGGGCGCTCAAAAACCAGAGGTTCGACCTCCCTGGTCCTCCCGCTCTAGCGCATCTGTTACCTGAATTTTCTTTATCTCATTGTCCCCTTCCATCACACCATTCCGCCACTCCTCAATCGACACCTTCTTTTGTTGGCCCACAGACGAATGTAGAAGTGTTGATTCTCTCCATCGAGGGGTACTTGGTGGCTTGGTCTCGGGGGAGTCACTCTCCGAATCGCTGTCGTCATAAGAGTGGTGAGAAGGGCGAAATTTGCCATTCATTTTGAGGTTGGCGATTCTGACGGTCTAAGACCCGTAGCAGATAATCATGTGGTCAAAAAGGATCTCGTAGTCTGAGCCCGGATAATGTTCTCGGTACACCATAGATTTCATAACCGTTCTTGCTGAGTTGAAGATAACATAATGAGGGTGTAGATGGGAAGTTATAAAACCAAGGTTCGGGTATAGATACATGTGTGTTTGCACTGTTGCATCACCCACGTCATTTAGAGTGTGGTGCCTGATAGGGACTGAAGCCATGTCGCTCAGCGGGAGGATAGTGTATCTATAACACGATTCCTGCAGAACAAGCTCAAGCTTGATGGATAGCTTTGGATTCCAGGATTGAGTAAACGAGACGTACCGATGTTGCTGGTGGAACGGACATTGGATCGCACCTACCATCGAGGTACAGAGCTAGTATATGTGGTTCGGGAAGGAGAATCCATTTTTCCTGGTTGAATAGATCGTGAAATTTGGTACCAACTGTTGATAAAGTAACCCGTATCAACAATTGAAAATTGAATCAATGAGCGGCGTACGAAGCATAGAGTTGTAGCGTGTGTGTAGATTCAACGTCCCAGGTTTTTTCTTCCATGAATACTCCAAGTAGTCAAAGTGCTGGAAGTCATCAATGTGCATATTTCGCATAGTGATAAAACGGAACGACTCACAGCGCTGGGTATCCCCGTTGGCGGAATTAGGTGAACGAACTCAACAGGTTCATCACTGAATTCTCAATCATACAACGATTTGCCGTGGGGGGGACTTTTGCTATCCTCTCAGGGAGGGAGGAACAACACGCTGAGATTGGTTTGCTGTAGCATTCTTCAAGTTGTCGATCATCATTGCCAGCGTTCGATGTACCCATAGTAGTGATAAGTACGGAAGAAAGATGGTTGGATTGTCGTATTTGGCGGAAGAGAAGTGAAGTTCTCAACGTGCGCACGTGACTGAAACCCCCTCTAATTTTTTTGTAGGGCTCAGCGGCGTAAGACCACCTTCACGAAAATTTGTATCCGTTCAGACGCCGTTGAACTACCTTCGCACCGGTATTCGGCCAGCAGCTGAATGAAGCGGTCAAGAAGCGGTGTCGACTTGTTTGGATATAACAAATACATACTTGCGAAAATCAAATGTTGTTCTTGATGCTACCACTGTTGCGATATAGCGCGATATGTCCAAAGGCGATGGTCAAGGTATACCATGGAATACATACAAGCGAGCCTCTGTCTAACCAACAAACGCAGTCGAACTTAATCCAACGATTGACTTTGTTGCGGGGACAGTCGCAGTACGTCATCGACTTACATCTCTTTGACCACGCTCTCAATTCCTGAGTAGGGAGTGGCGAGCTTGATAGTCGGGTTCCCTTTTGATACAGGGGAGGCGAAAATCGTCTCTAGGCGGCTGAACCGCTTGGCTGATACTTTTGTACCATCACAGTGAAAGTCCGGTTTCAGAGCCCAGCGATTGCGAGTAAGTATACGTCGACCTTCCAAGCCATTGCTACTATTATTCGCGAGGAGCGGTTTATTGGGTTGTACAAGGGAATAACGTCGCCCTTGGTGCGTCCTCGTGCGGTGATTCACGCTCGTAAATTGACGCGTCCATCTATAGGCGACCGTGGCGTTGATGAATGGTCTCGTGTTCGCTTCCTATCGTTTCCTTTTGAAGTTACAGCTTGAGGATTCCTCAAGCACGCCCTCGATAACACAGATCGCGCTTGCTGGAGCGGGAAGCGGCATCATATCTTCGTACGTCGTTCAGACTTTTACCTTGTAGAGATTCTGATCTAATCTCACCCAGTATTATCACAACACCGACGGAACTCATAAAAATCCGTCAACAATCCCTTCTGACCGAGACAACTACTCGGCAAGTTGCGTTGCAGGTTTTGAGAGAGAGTGGCATAAAGGGCTTGTATCGAGGTATCACCGCAACGGCCCTGAGGGACATCGGATACGGTGCCTATTTTGCAGCGGTAAGTATCTCCAGCCCTTCCGGAATGTGACGCCCATCTATTCTTATCATCAGTACGAAGCTACGTGCCGCTACCTTTCAACCCCAGCGGTGACGCCTCTGGACTCTTCGCTTATAATGGCTCAGGTAGAACCTGACATGACTAAACTATCGTGGCCCTCCCTTCTGCTGGCCGGAGGGGTTGCAGGAATTGGTATGCTCTTTTTTTGTCTTACGCCATCAGTATTACTGATATCACGTCCGTCTGCGGCCGGCTGGGTGGTCACTTTCCCATTCGATGTCGTGAAAACTCGTGTTCAAGGCAGCACCGCCGCACTTTCAGTACCAGCGGCAACGCCCATACCTTCCCAGACTTCTTTTTCTCCGGGTGCCCCGTTACTTGACAGATCAGGATCCAGAGCTACAGAATATAATCCGTACCGAACAACAATGTCAACAATAATTCACTCTTACCATACAGAAGGCATTAATGTGTTTTTTCGTGGTTTGGCTCCTACCCTTATTCGGTGAGTCTTCATCGTTGCTTCTTCGCTGCGCTCGCCTTTTGGTCAGGGAGATGCGCCGACACTTCGGCTGGCGGACCGCGTTGAGATCCCACTGACTTAGTCAAGACTTAATAGAGTGTTGCTGACCATCACTTCTCGATAGGGCTATACCAGTTAACATGGTCACCTTTGCCACGTTTGAGGCCGTCGTTCACGCTCTCTCATGAGAGTATCTAAATTTACAAACTATGGCGTCGGATTCCCTGCACCTACCGAATTTGCTATACCTATAGAACTATCGACCAACAACGAGAAATATAGAATTTACTATCGGTCCCGTCGCTCGCAATAATAGAGGATCGCAATCCTTGTTTTCCTTTTCACCACCGCTCACTGGCCGTATCAGCCATCTATTCATAACCAACTAACCCTCATTCGTACACCATCCACACAGCCTTTCCACCTTCGCCCGCTGTCGGACAAAGAGGTCCAGACCACGGCTCACGGGTTATGTACATACCACGACTACCTAGGAACGTCCCACCCAAATTTAATGATGGATGATAGGGTAACGGATGCCGACTCGCGAAACAAACGAACGGGGTGAACCAGGAGACTTGTCGGATATACTGGCTCGTGGCTCGTCTGTCTGTCGCCCTTTGGTCAACTCACCAGACCTCGAGGCTTCCCCGCAAATGTGCACTTGGCCCCATGTAACATGGAACGGACTTTACGCTGCTCATCGGAATTATTTATGTATAAACAGACCAGGTACTTAGGCTTGACTTAGGCTGCGAGTTATACTCGAGTGGCTGGAAATACACACACATTGTCCAGTGTCTACGACTCCCCTGGGTTTGGTCAAGGTTTGGTGTGTCATTTGATTATTACTTGCGCAGGGTACTTGGCATCAAATCGGCTCCCTCATGTGTCATATGTGCCTTGGGCGGCCGCCCTTGCAAGCGCTGATCTCGTTATGGAAACGCAATTTCTCATTTCTTCTGTTCATAAAATACAAGTTGCCTGGCACACGCCCTTTGACAACAGCATTCGCTCGACATTCCGGACCTTGTGCGATAAGTTGTAAAATTTGAGAGGTTCAAGGCGGTTCACTTTCAAGAGTCTAGAGTGTAGTAGATGATGAAATTGATCCGTTGGCAAAAAATCCGAGTTGGGATATCTTCGAATTTTGAATTTCTTCTTGTAGACACGTTACGTGAGTAATGGGGTTGACGCCCAAAAATCGAGACCGGGGAGGTATAAATTATCGAGTACTACGTGTATGTGTACATACATGGACGCGCGTGATGATGAGCGCACGTCAAATACAAAGAGATGCGTAGTATATACGTGCTAGATGATGGGAGAGGATGCAAGATGATGAATGAGGTTGAGATGGCACAAACAACAATCGAAGTGAGTAAAGGAATCGATGAAAGTATCAGACAATTCCTTGGTCTCTTCATTCGCATTCCTAAGCGTGGCTTTGGCATTACATAATTGTCAAGCAGATATTTCGACAGTGCCCAGAATTTGATACTGGAGGAGAGGTATAGATTAGTACTACGTGTATGTGTACATACAATGGGTGCGATGATGAGTGCACGTCGAATACAAAAGAGATGCGTTGTATATACGTGCTAGATGATGAAGAGACGATGCAAGATGATGAGGTTGAGATGATGACACAAACGATAAAATGAAAACCAAGAAAGCAAAAGATCATAGCAAGCAAGCAACCGAACAACGAGGGGGACGCTCACTCCGTCTCATCCATCATCCCCTCCAACTCAAACTCCTCCCCACCCTCCATCTGCGCCCTCGCATAAAGCTCCTCCCGCCTCCCCACATCCCCCGTCAAATTCGCAAGCGTCACCAAAGCTTCAACAAGCAAACTCCTCAACTCCTCTCGATCCTCCTCCTCCTCATCCCCACCCACACCCAACTCCCGTGCCTTCTCCAAATACCCAATAGCACACCCCAACGTATCCCGTGCGTCCTCCGCATCCTCCGTATTGAGCACATCCATATCCCCAGACTCCAGAGCACCCTCGAGCTCTTCCGCGCGTGCAGCGCCAACGATCAAACAACACCTCCCACGCGCACGTGCGATGGGTGCCCGCCATACCTCCATATCAGCTTCCATCTTCATCTGGCTGAATATACTATCCGACCAAGCGCCCCACGTCTGTCTCTCCGATGGCTCCAACAGCTTTTCAGAGATGAGGAGAACCTCGGAGCCGATGGTGAATAGCTCTTTTGCGCGGGAGAAAGAGTCGGGGGGTCGTTTGACTGCGGATGGTGGGCTGGGTGCTGCTGTTCTTGATGATGAGGCGGGAGGTAAGTGGTTAGGGTGCGGCATGTGGAATATCCCACGTGAGAACTGGTCCATCGCCAACACGAGTAACTCGTTGGGTGTGGTGGTGGATATGGACAGTCGACGGGTCGTCACCGGCCTCGAACGATTAATCGCTCCAAACGGGGACGCCTCTGGCCATTTAGGACTATCAGCCAGATAAGAAGCGATGAACGGGTCAAGGGGTGCGTTGGGGTTATCTTCTTTTAATTTTGCCTGGCGGGCAAGGAGGTCGTCGGCGAGTGCGACGAGTGTGCGTCCCCACATGATGGCCATGCGCCAGTCCTCTGGCGCGGATGTGCAGCCTTTGCCGTTGACGCGTGTTGGCGAGTTTTCGCCTGTTTCAAAGGCGTCGAAGGCTGCGAGCCAGTAGGGTACTGCGGTTGTTGGCTCGCCTTCGAGCGCTAATGTTGGATCTTGCGCGATGATGTTTCCGAAGAAGAAGAGGACTGTGCCGAGGATGGTGTGGAATGCTGTTACGAGGTCGACGCATTTGCTGAAAGAAATGAGGGTGTTAGTGATGTAATGAGAAAGAAAGGAAAAAGGGGACATACCACTTTTTTTCTACTGGTGGTGGGGTTGAGGGTTTTCGCTTGGGCCGTTCAGAGGACATATATCGTGGTTGCTCATCGTGGAACCAGTTTCGCTCAGGGACCGGGGCGGGCTCAGGGAGCGGGGGTGAGAAAAGAAGAGAGGGGTCGCGGTGGTGGCGAAGAAATCGGTGACATTCGTGTATCACAGCTCGTAACAGCAACAGCGTCTCTGCTGGGTCATCCCCTGATAAACCACCATATCAGATATTGCGTAGATCAAGTTGAACAGAAGGTTACCTTCATACTGCGCTGCAGCTTTTGCAAAAAGTTCCTTGAGATCCCTCCAATCTTCAATCGTATACTCCCCCTCCTCCTGAACAACAACCGGGCTAGGACCCCTCGCTATACTGGAAACATCCATAACTTTCGACCGCGCAGCCCACTTGTTTAATCGTTCCGGATGCGGACTATCGCACCGTCGTGAATAATCCCAATATCTAATCTCCTCCTCGTCGTCCGATGAGTTAGTGGAGAGCGTCTCACTGCGATGTCGTTTTCGTGAGCGAAATCTGGTGGTTATACGACGACAACAACTATGTTCGACGGCTTCGAGTACGTGGAATGGGGGGTACTCGTCGTCGTCAATATCGTCGTCAGTGGTATCTGATGAGTGTTGGTCTTGCTTATCGCGGCGAGGGCCGGTCCCACGGGCCTTCCATAAACCTCTGGGCCGTTGCCATTTTACGACACTCTGAGGTTTCGTCGGCGGGGGTGTGTGCTCGATGGCGATGGGGGCGGGGAAAGTGACGGAGACGGGCATGGTGTGGGTTATGGGGAGGAGAACGATGTAGGTCCGTGAATTATATAGCCCTTTTGCCGTTTGTCGTTCCTCTCATCGCCCAAATTCTGGACTGGACCCTGACATAAAAGGCCAGAACAACCTAAATTTGTTTATATCCACCACAAGCTGGTTCACCTCGGCACGAGTTCTAGACCTTTTCTTTTTTTTTTTTTTAATGCATAGCCATGGCCGCCGCAATCCGGCATGTGTCTTATACGATTATTATACCCGACGACGACGACCACCTTTGCCCCATTTCTCTACCAAAAATCCTGTCAGATACTCATATATCTCCCTCTGTGCCCCACGTCGACTAATACTATGGTCACTAGATACCATCGTCAGCATCCACACACTCGTCATCATAGCGAACCCACACAACTGACCTATCAGTGAACATCCTAAACCTAAATCTCCGGACCTGGGCCTTTGTAAACATATCCAGCAAATGTGCCGAGTTTGCATAATGAACATTGTCATCGCCACTCCCATGCGCAAGGAGGTAATCCACCTTGTGGAACCCCGTCACATTCGATATCGACGCGTTCACGTATCCACCCGGGTTGAGCTCGGGAAGATTCATATACCGCTCCGTATAAATTGAATCTAGAGCAAGGGGCGGATAAGCTTGTGTCTTTTTTATCTCCTCTCCCTCGCGGCTTACCGTACAGACGCCAGCTGGTCACAGGCTAAAACGGAAGGAGAAGGGATCATCATCAGTACATGATTCTGGAGGCGTCTGGACCGAAAGAGGCGTACTGCAACCGCCATGGCAAGGCTATGAATCCCGGCATTGGCCTCGACGACTTTCGAGCTCATGAAGCCCCCATACGACTGCGCCATCAAAAGTCAGCCATCGCGATCATCGGTGAAAGAGAGAAAGAAACCAATGAGCATCGCGATCATCGGCGAAAGAGATAGCATTCAATAGTAATTTAAGAAAGACGAGACTCACCCAGCCCCAGATACCTATCCGCTTCGGATCTACGTATTCCTTCTTTGCCCAGGCTCTGAGTAAAAACAATAAGCGTTGTCAGCAGGAGGCGTGATTAAAGGGATGGATAATGAAACAAGTCAGACATGGGGCGAAACCCCACCATGTAGCCGGTTCCCATTGGTCATCCACCCCCATCTCTCCCCCCTCCCCCCGTCCCCCCCCCAACCAAAAAAGAAACCTCACCTAGCAGAATTAACCTGATCAACAGTCTCCCAATACCCCAAATTCCCTTTGACAGGATTCCTCAACTTGCGTCCTTTATACCCCGTCCCACGCCCATCCACCACAACGACAATGTACTCCAACCCACAGGCGAGGTATTCGTGCCAGTCTCGGCTGAAGCGGAGGTCGACGGTTTGCGAGTGGGGACCGCCGTACCTATTAGAAAGTTCAGGTGAGGAGAGAAGGAAGAGAGGAAGAGAAGAAAAAAAAAGGAGAGAAGGAGGAGAAGGCAACGCACACACGGAACAAAACAGGATACTTCACCCGCCCCGAATCGTCCATCTTGGGAGGCCGTATTTCCTTCACGTTCAACTCTACCACGTCCTCTTTCTCAGTACCCACCACCACAAAAGTAAGTAAGAAAAAAAAGAAAAAGACACACCAAACCCATCACTCAAAAACGTCGAATGCGTAACCGTAGCAGCTTCATATTCCAACGTATGGTTTAGAAGTCTTTCGTTCATTGTTAGAACATGGTCAAACCCTACAACCCACCATCCACCAGTTTGTTACTTTTTCCTAACGGGGGAAAGAAGGAGGCGTACCGGGATTATCAACCTGCATAACCCTCTGCCAGGGTATCCCCGGCCCTTGATAACTGAGGATATAAAACCCCGCTTGGGGCGAGAACGACACGGCGTAGAATGATGGCTTGGATGCGTCTGTCATTGATGTGGGCTCTACTTTTTCCTGGTCTTTTTCATCTTCGGTAGACAAGGAGGGTATAGGAACGGAGTAAAGCTGCCGTTCGATCGAAGATGGGTTCGCAGCGAGGAAATACCTTTTGTTTTGTTATCGTTAGCAAGGGATAGAAAGGGAGGAGGAGGAAGAGGAGGAGGGGAACGTACACCAATCCCCGCTTCTGATCTACAGACTGAATACCACCCGTCACTTCCCAGTTTCCCGAAGTGAGGAACTTGGGGGTGCTAGAGGTGGCAGGGCTGAACAGGGCGATGTGGTTGTACCCTTCTTTGGTGGGCACGATGTCGAGGTAGGCGTCTCCGTCTAGGTCTAAGGAGGAGAGCGGGTATATCGTTTGTTCCTACACCACCATCAGCATCATTGTATATGCACACTCTGAAAGAAAAGAGGAAGAAGAAAGGGGTAACGCACATTATCAATCCACCCATCATCCCCCTCCTCCCCCTCCCTCCCCAACCTCCTCACAACCCTCCCTCTCGACCTTACAAACGCATCAACATCATCCAAATCAAAAACCAACACATTCCCATCGTCCGCATTCCTGTTAACCTCCTTGAGCACCAAACTCCCATTACCAACCCACGCAACTTCCAACACGACACTATCCTCCACCGGCCTTCGTCCATCCCAATCCAACGTAAGTGTTTCTTCTTCCGCTGGAACGTCCTCGCCACCGAGATCAGCAACCCTCTCAAGGTACCGTCCCAAATCAAACACATGTACCGAAACAAGCGGGTTACGATACCCCGGCTTGGGATACTTCATAACCACGTCCTTCGTATACGGCACAACCGCATTCGCGTCTTCCGTAGGGTTATATATAGGAAACGTGAATTCCTCAACGAGCGTCTCGTCGAATGATAGGAATGCGAGTTTGGAAGAGGTGGGAGACCACCAGAGGGAAGAGTCGGATGAGAAGATTTCTTCTTCGTATACCCAGTCGGGGACGCCGTGGAAGAGGGAGGCGTTGCCTGTTGATGTTATGCGGATGGGTTTGGTGGTGGGTCTGTGTTGTTTGTTGAGTTCAGTGAGGAGGAGAGGAGGAGAGGACTTACGATGCGGATGGGAGGATGTAGAGGTCGTTGTCTGCTACGTAGGCTATGGCTTCTCCTGTGGGTGACCATGTTGCAAAGGCCGTTCGGGAGGGGTGAGTGGGGGGGATGATGGGGTGGGTGGTTTTGGCTGCGATGTTGTGCACGTAGTAGTTACCGAAACTTGACCAGCGCCATTGCTTCGAATGTTGTCAGTTAAGTTGGGGAAGCAGGCGGAATGGGAGTAACTTACTTTACGGTAGTCGACTTTGATGAGGATGTATTTCATGTCGGGTGAGACTTTCCAGTCGCCCATGTACAGCTCGTTTCCGTTTTCCTGTAAGAGATGAGTAACGTTGTAAGATATGTGGGTGGGGCACGTACATCTTTCACATCGCGGAAGGCTACTAGATTCTTCGTAATGCCAGTCTTCAAGTCGACCAGTCTAATATATCCCCCTGCTGACTCGGAGTAAACACCATCACCAGCTATACCAACCAAATGCGTCTCAGCAAGCGGAACATGGGGAAACGAAAAGCAAAACCTTCCGGAACCCAGTTAAGATGATGCCACTGCGAACCAAAGGTCCCATTGAAAATATGGTCCATAGTAATTTTCCTTGCTCCAACAACACGACGGTACGATGCGCCCACGTAAGTGAACGCACCGATGATGCCGATGGCAGCAGCCAGCCCAATGAGCACGACGAGCGCGATGATGAGCTTGCGCAGGGAATTGGACTTGTGCTTGGGTCATCACCATCAGTTTAGTCAAGCATAGCCGCAACACACCGTACTTACATGATGTCGTTCTGCACTCGCACCACGCCGTCCGGGGGTGTGGCCGCCCATCTCTGCCATCCCAGGACTCCCCGGGACATCTTTATCAGAGCCTGAGCCTAATAGTGACTCTTCCTCGTCGTCTGAGCTGGGAGGGTCGAAGGCTCCTTCGCCGTAGTAGACTGTTGGTCTCACTATTAGAGGGTCAACGTGCGTTTCGTTGGGCGCGCGTGGGTGTGTGGATGGCCCAGGTTGAGTGTGGTCTGCGTCCGAGTCATCAGTGGGTATAGGCATGGGTAGGTGATGGTGAGAGGCTGAACCTAACCCTAGTTAGAGGTTCACCTCTTCCTAATGGCACCCCAAACGAATTGGGATCCTGTTCTTCTTATATCTCAGGTAGGCTTCGTTTTACAGAAAATATCAGACACTAAACAACGACTAGATTCTATCAATGCAAACGTTACACTACCTAACACTATCCATCATAATCCCTCCCCTCCTAAGCCTATTCGCAGACCCAACATCACTAAACTACGAAGGTGGCCCTGCTAACGTCGGTCAGTCTCTACTCCTCTCCTTCCTTCCTTCTTTCTACCAACTCAACACACAGGCATGATAATGGACTGGCGAGAAATGGCAGGCCGACCCACTGTACGAGGAACATACGGCGGGGAACGCTGGACGTCATACACCCAATGGGCCTGGAGCGGTGGTAAGAAAGTCGGGTATGGGTGGGAAGAAGATCGGTGGGATGGGCGGACGGACCCTATGAGGGGGTGGATCATCGCTGGGTGTTGGTTGGTTGCTTGTTCTGCCGAGTACGTCTTTCCCCCCTGCCTCCCTCCACCCACTCACGAAACGAGAAACAGCATATACTACCTATACACCCTAATCCGGCGCCCCCGCCTCATCCTCGACTTCGCACTGACACTGGTATTCAACCACCTAGTACTAACGACGTACTACTCCGCCACGCTACCCACCTCTTTCTTTTTTTGGCTCGTCTTGTTTGGCGGGTCGGCGGTGATGGTGGTGGTGGCTGAGCAGCTGTGCGTGAAGAGGGAGATGAGGGAGGGGTTGAGTGTGGTTAATGTGCGGCCTGATCCGGAGGATGTGGAGGTGGATGAGATGGAGATGGGGGGGCTGTTGTCGAGGAGGGATTGATGGGTTGAGGCGAGATTAATGGGTTGACACGGGTTAAAGCTTCTATTAGAAGGGATCCTTAGGCAGGCCTTTTCTTTCCTGCTTTTCTTTCCTTGCCGAGGCGCTGACGCGTTTTTCTTTAAGCAGACTCATGTCACACCATGTCATGTATTTCTAGACGAACCTATAACGATATCCATGCCTTAACCTGGTTGCGTGTCTCCTGCCTCGATTTTTCACCAATTGGTGCTCCATAAGATCCTCCTGAATCGACGCAGGCGTTTCGAAACGTTACTCAGGCAGGTTTTCTCTTGGTTGCATTTCGTTTCAATGACGTATCATTTTTTTTTACGCAGAGTTAGATGTGTTGGATTGCGTTTCCTGCTGGATCGCTGATTTATTATGCTTCGGAACAGGCTCACGTTGTTTCCGGATAGACCGATGTTTTATACCAGGCCGCTGGCGACGAAGAGAAGAAGTGCGGATTTTGGCAAGTGACTCTCTGTTTCTGGGGCCGAACTTTCATGTCGTCAAATTCACAGGAAGCTTCCATTTGGACCGTGAATCACAAGCAGACCCTTGTCCAAATTTGCAGATTTAAGGCTGCAAACGCGGATTTGAGGCAACTTTTTGCGGACAAGAAATGGCGGAGCTTCTGGGGGCCTTTTATACCTTGCTTGTGCAACCTGGTTACTTGATTGTTATGTGATTTCGTCTCTTGAATGTGAACTTCTCAGTAACAGATTCTTTCGAGCAGACTACGCCATGTATCTTTGGGCGAACCTATGACGATCCATTTATCTCGCTTGCACGATTCCTACTTTAAACTCTAGCCCAAACCGCGGGTACTCAAGCAGGCTAGCTATCACACGCCTACATCTCGCCCACGCTTTTTCTTGTTTGAAATCTACCTCATCCACGAGCGCTCAGGCAAAGGTCACCTTGCGGTCTGTCCCACGTCCGACGTTCGCTTGTTTGTTTGCGTGGCGTCTCCAGCATCAGTACATGCCTCAATTTTTTGCTGATGGATGCTTCCTCCTAATTCCCGGGTCCATCAGAAACCCACTCAATCAACGGTTTGTGAATCTGAAGTCCTGAGACTGTACGTTTGTTGTTGCAGAGTGGTGTAGGGAAATCTACCTTTATCGGCGTCAAGGATGCTGTGAGGTCGCTTCCGGTCCATCAGAAACCCACTCACAAACATTGCTGAAGCAGGCCCGCCTTTTCGTCGTTCAACGGCATAGTTGCATTTCGTTTCTCGCCAAATAGTGGACATTCCATTTTTCAATGCAGGTCCATGCCATGTATTTCTCAGTGCCGATGGCGATGTCTATTCCTCCTCTGCCCTTTTCCTGAACTCTGGCCCATTCATGGATATTTGATCTCATGCTGCGCTCTCTCATGTCATTGTTTGGCTGGATTGTGTCCGGGGTCACCGGTCACCGGTCAGCACCCAATCAGCGCTCGCCCCTCAATTTTTTTTTTCGATTGGCGCTTGCTTAAAAATCTCGGGTATGGCGGCACCCCCACTTATGTACCCCACAGCGTACACAGCGGATGTTCCAAAACGTACCTTTCGTTCTCACTCCCTCCCACTGAGTAATGAGGAACTATCTTGATTGACGCAGACGCACACATTCGTTCGATGGCATTCGAGTTTTCTGCACACCTCAAAATCTCGGATATGCCGGAACCGCCTACTTATCCAACGGTATATGCACACAATCAGCCTGTATGTGTGTTAAAACATACCAGTTGCTCCCACTCGCCCCCGAACATTTGGAAACTATCCCCATTGAGACCTTCCCTGGCGTCCTTGAGGAGCCTTGAGGCTTGCCTGTTGGATGGTCCCTTCAAGGTCCGGATACAAATTGGAAATTTTTTTGCACAAGAAAATTTATCAGTACGTTGTCTTCAAACATCCTCGCTTCCCCTGCCCTGCTAAGCGCCTTTCCAGCAGGATGGTGTCTTCAAGCTCCGAGTCCTCCCCGTTCCTCCGGAAACGTCGGAAAACCTGGGTGCTACTTACCCGATGAACCCGCGTTGCGCATAATTATCCCCTCCTCAATGACAAACAGAAACATGCGAGTGTAAACGGGCTTGATGTTGAACGAAAATGGTCTCGGCGACTTCAGTACCCTTCTTTGACTATATGCCAACTTTCCCGGCTTGGGCTAGCTGCCGCTGCACAGCAGGAACAATCTTTCCTTCTCATTGAACTGTCGAGCCGACAGGCGCCTTGCCTTGGGATTCCTATAGACTGATCTGACAAGCCTGTTCTAGCCTGTTCTCCGAGTCAGTGACCGTGATATTCACATCATTCGCGCAGTTTGTTCAAGATGTTTATCTACTTAATTGTAATGCTGACATCGTTCGCGTTTGGATCCGCAGCTATACTAAGGGCATCAAGGTACCTTGGGGTGTTCAGACTGTGCAAGTGAGATGCATTTCAAGCAATCATGGCTGCGCTCGGTAGAAGATAACTCACAAAAGGAAGATCTGCTCCCACACTTCATTCAACCCCTGCCTAAACCACGTTCATGTCCAGTAATTAATCAGAACAAACTGTCCCGGTCATGAATGGCAGCCAAGCCTCTCGTCGGATTTGACCTGCCCTCCCCGATTCAGATTGATTTTGACGAACACCGCATCTCTGACCATGGCGACTTTTTTGGTTCTATGAGGCTTCGACCATCAGCGTACGTACTTTGATGATCTGCCTTATGGTCGTTACTGGGGCTTCCACTAATTATCGACGGTCCTGTCCCATCCGAGTCGCCCATTCCATTTGACACTTTCTCTGTCGTTCTCTGCAGGGTCACTATATTGTGACGTCCTCAGCACTGAAGGACAAGACTCCGGCCGATAGTCCTCCCTTTTCAACGCCACTGATGACTACTATTGCCTTGGCTGCATAGGTTCATACTTGCTATCCATGGACGAGAATCTGTCGCGTCTCAACTCGCTACAAAGTCATGAGGACTTTTCATTCTCCAGTAATTTCCTCGTTTACCGTGCGTTCTTGTCATTTACGTTGTCACTTCATATTTCCAGTGGCATTTGAATCAAACGTCCCTAACAATGCGACCGTGACTACAGTACTAGTAGTATGAAGGCCTCCAAAAGGCCTTCCTCAACGATAATAGCATATAATGATAGCAGCCGTGCCCTCCATTTTCATCTCCGCCGTCAGGATCAACATCACCCTCACTTTCAACGGTCCGAACTAATCTTCCCTTCGTCATTTTTGTAAGAAGTTCAATCATGCAGGCTTTCACTTTGCAATGATATAGGGCTTCGGCTTCAGTAACAGCTTTCATCGGTTGTTTTCCGGAAGGCAAATTACATAGGCCATATCATGTTCCTATAATGCACCACATTCACGGTTCGGGATTTATTTATTGATACATGCTACATCTTCCGCGGCGCGAAGGGGGATGCGCCCAGTATACTTGTCGACCTGAAATCTTCATCACTGATGAAAACTTGAATGGTAGTATTGCGAAGTTCGCTTCTTGCAGTGGTAGCTGTGCATTATCCTTTTTCAGCCAAAATTTTTGGCTTCCATTCTGACTCTCCATTCTGGGGTGCGCCCTAAGCAAGTAGAGCTATATACTTCTCCATTATAGGTCGAATTTGCAATATGTCGGTTCTTGATCAATATTGAATAATTTTTGCTATTAGAGGCGCGGGCGGGCGCCAATCAAACGCAAATATTCCAACCACTTTTGCGTTATCGATGGTTAACTGCTAACATCACGGTTCCGACAGTCATACGTTCGCGTGCGCATCAACAATGGGCTTGCCGATTGTAATTTATGACTCGCGATTTCTCTCAAGGTTCGTCAGATGCTGTTTATCTCTCCGATTTTGACGCGTTTTTGATTTCGACCTGCGCGCTCACAGCCTATCTGTGTAATCGGGCAAGGAGATGGATGCCAATCTTGAATTTCAATCTCGATCACGCAGCGATTGTCGATCATCTGAGGTTTGTTCAACAGCTTTATGCAACTCGGGGATTTATTGCTTATATGCGCACCGAAAGAATGCTATCGAGCTGGGGAGCCATGGTCTCGGTCCACAAAAATGCCTACTTCCGCATGTAACGACACCAAGTATCGGAAATTGGTCAAGTAAATTCCAGGCTGCGAAACGCTGAGGTTTTATTTCTTCATGTTATTTTTGGTGCACCGTTTCTCCGAGGCGTATCCAGGCGATCTGCTACCCCGCACTTCAAATATCGGACGGCTCACTGGAAGTTATATCCGTTCTGGGGCTTCTTATCACTGCGGCCCTTTTTCTACACGACCTCCTGCTGTGCCTTCGTTTTCTCGATCAATTCCCAAGTGACCCATTACCTACCCAGGATGGTGAAAAAAAGAACGATTGCATCAAGCATTGGACTCAGGCTTGGTATCATTCCAAGTTTGTGTGGTCGTTCGTAAAATGACTGGAATTCTTTAACACGGAAGCGTGGGGATGCCTTGTAATCAAGGCTACTTCCAGCTCATTTGCCTAAAGAGGTGCTGCTGGCTACACGTCGCTGAAGGCCTTTACCTGTAATATGCACTAGACTCACAGGCTTACGCCGGTTCAAGACTCGCAGCAGTGCGAACCAGCCGCCAGTGGCGTTGCTTGGTCCCATTGCCAATTGCCGTAAGTATCTGCGGCTTCAATCGCCTATAACCAGGAGAATGGTGAGGCTCTTCGGCTGTTCCTCGCCTGCGGGATACTGGGGTCAATTCGAGTCTACGACTTTGGGAACGCGCGACACCAGTGTGGTTACGCCGGTCCTATTCTCCAGCGGGTAATGAAAATAACATGGACGACATCCTAAAATCTTCCGTTCTGTGTCAAGGACGGTGTGTGCGCACGCAGGCATAAGTATATGGGGGTTCGTATTTGTTTTTTCATATGACCCGTGATATGCCTGGCGTGATGGCAATAATTAGATCCCCTTTTACTTTGCATCAAGAGGCGTCCTGGTCCAGCGATGAACTACCGTTACGGTACGGCTACCACCATAAATGACTGCTGAAGTGACTTCCTGATGCATTATGACTCAAATTGTTCGATGTCACTGACTTGCAATGACTTCCTCGGCTATTTAGGGCATTCACTCACGTTGTCATTTGCTGTGATCTGGTAGCTCAGGGTCCAATCAAGTTATTGGGGCAACCAGGAAAATGGAATGCCACATTTAGCGCCACCGTTCATGCCTGATAAAACGTAAGTACTTAGCGCCGAAAGGCATTGGACATTAGGCAACGGGTGAAGCTCTTAGGCTGGCGAGGGACTCAGAGAGCGTATAGACTGAAGAGCGCGGTTGTGAAACGTACTGGGCGCTTCTTACCAATCTTGGACCCAAGATGCGGCAGTCTTAGACGATCGCACGTTCAGAGGTGTCATCGGGAGAACGAAGATTGAAAGGGTCCGTTGAGCCCGCGGTTCTTCTTAGGCCTTTACCCTGTCTCAATCTTCGATGCGGCACGAGGCCCACCCTTGCATCAAAACCCATATAAGGCGCTGCATAATTTTTTGTTGACCCCTCTCCTTTCTTGTCCTTTTACTTGTCTTCCCCACTCGCCCGCCATGGACGCCATAAAAAGTATACTCTCCCCTTTCGGCATGAACACAGGCGCTATCCAAGACACCCTTGTAGGTCCTGAATTGCAGCGACGAATGTCTATCCTGACGTTCCTTTGCTCTTCTAGAAACTGGTAGTTATTGGCGGGACAGTAGAAACCGCTCGACGGGCCTCCATGTCGGCCTGGAATGGTTTTGTGGATTGTGGGTTTTCTATGACATGTTCTCCGTTTTGCCGAGAGGCTTAACAGCATTGTAGCTTTCTTCCTCACTGCACATTTCTCTCAAGAGGATTACCCATACGACTGGTACGACTTCGCCCTAAACTTTTCCTTGCCGTCGATTGCTGACCTTTGGATCCAGGTTAATGCACTGGCTTTCTAAGGTTGGTCTAGTTTCACGCCTACAGAATGTGCCGTAACTCTTTGTCAGCAACCCGCTTGGGGCCGAAGCAGGGAGTTTGAGATTACCACGCGCTCAGTCGGTCGCAATGGCATGAATTACAGCACTACAGGCGACCTAGAGGATGATGAGGAAGAAGATGAAGGGGACGGCATGGTTCATGGTCGTCGAAAGCGCAAAGTGGCGTTCCTGCCAAGCTTAGGTAAGTTTTTTGACAGATTTCGCACGGTTGAAATTAACCGAAATGTTTACTCAGACACTACCCACACCATTTATTACCGTGGTCACTGGCTTAGAGTAAGGTTTTGCCGGGAAGCTACTTCGCCCCCTTCATTAACGCGGTTGATAGATTACGCGTACTCAGCGTTACCCCGATTATCGCCGTGGGGCTGCTCTCAAGATCAGGTCTGTGCTTTCAAATGGCTGGTCGCGCAACCTTTTTTGACATTTTTGTATTAAATACAGTGTTGTCGCTCGGAACAACGACATCTTGAAGAAACTTGTTCTGGAGGCCAAGCGTGATTATGAAAAGGATTCTGAGCATCGCGTTCATATATTCCTCGCTGATACGTAAGTATTTTCCTTTACGTTGTTCATAGTGATATTCATCAACCCGTGCAGTTCGTATGGCGGCTGGAGATTCAATGGTGCTCGTCAAAAGAGGCCTATGAGCTCTATCGTGCTCCAACCTGGCGTTAAGGATATGCTTCTTGCAGATTGCAAGGATTTCATGTCTTCCGAGGAATGGTATGTCTCTGCATTCCCGTTTGTGACTTTTTTTGATCGTTATTTAATTTAGGTATGCGGAGCGAGGTTTGTGCCGATGCTGTACCATATGGGCGTTCAATTGAACCAGTTATAGGCATTCCTTTCAGGAGGGGTTATTTGTTGCATGGTGTTCCTGGAAGGTATGAGATATTTCGTTTATGAGACTCACCAGAACTTACATGTTCCATAGTGGAAAGACCTCTCTTATTCACTCTCTGGCCGGTGAACTGGGGTTAGATATCTACGTCGTTTCGCTATCAGCGAAGGGGTAGGTCCCTTCTATTTATAATCTACCTCTTTGATTGATCATCCAACCGCAGGATGAGTGATAACACACTAACGACGTTGATGGGTCATGTATCTTCGAGGTCCGTGTTTGTCGTTCGCATTACTTGATACCTGATACTCATTTCGAATTCATAGATGTATACTCCTTTTGGAAGATTTGGACGCTGCGTTTACGCGTTCGGTCAGCCGTGATGCCAGCTCTACCGGGGCACCCACCGCCACAGCCAAAGATAAGGACGCCGCTGCGGCGGCTGAAAGTACTGACGGTTCTACCTTGAGTCTAAGTGGTCTTCTCAATAGCATTGATGGCGTAGCTGCGGCGGAGGGGCGGTACGTCTCTGTTGCATTAAATGGTGATGGTGGCTAATAACGGTTCGCGTGTCTAGTCTCCTCTTTGCTACCACTAACCATATTGAGCGCCTCGACCCTGCTCTCAGCCGACCTGGCCGCATGGACGTATGGATCAACTTTACCCATGCGACTAAGTGGCAAGCAGAGGGTATCTTTAAATGCTTCTTCCCTCACAAACCAACCGCAGCTACAATCTCTTCATCTGCCGCGCCGACAGATGCATCGCAGAAGAACCTTCCTCTTCCCAAGCGCAAATCACACACGCACGCCATTCCTCTTCTCACTGAAGAAGAAATTTCTGAGCTTGCTAAACGTTTTGCTGAGGCTATTCCCGAAGATGAGCTAAGTGTACGTATGCTTAATCTTTCATTTAGACAGAGATTAATTTTCATTTCCAGGTTGCGAGTCTTCAAGGTTACCTTCTCAGAAATAAGACGCGTCCCCGAGAGTGCGTGGAAGAAGTCGCCCAATGGGTCATTCAAGAGCGTGAAACTCGGGAAAAACTCAAGAAAGAGAAGGCTGAGGTTTGAATCACTCTCATTTCATTACCTTACTCTTGAGTAGTGACATCCTTCATTCCCTAGCGTGAGGCCAAGGAGAAGAAGGAAGCCGAAGAGGCTGCAAAAAAAGAGGTAAGTTTGAATAACTCTTGTCACTTTGCGAGTCCTCATGTCATATTACAGAAGGAGGAGAAGGAGGCTAAAGAGGTACACGATCGTATTTGTATCCCCTGCTCTATATCGATTTGCTGACACCTATGGTACTCAGAAGGAGGAAAAGGAAGCCAAAGAGGTTCGTGCATTGCTCTCTTCGGTCTTCATCATCAGACTTACCTCTTCAACAGAAGCTCGAGAGGAAAGAACGCGCCGCTAAAGCCAAGAAGCTTCGAGCCGAAGCAGCGGCCTCGAAGAGTGATGATTCTTCCACCGACTCGGCTACTCCTACTGAAACGACTCCAGCAGCATCGACCTCTACCGCCTCAACGCCTGCCTTGACCCCTGATGCCACTAGCGAATCTTCAACCTCTAGCAGTTCGGAATCTGAGACTAGCACAGGCGTGGATGCCGACACTGAGGAGAGCGTTACCTCAGAGGAGGAGACCGATAAGGCTGAGGGTGCCACTACCCAGCCAAAGGGTGAGAAGTGGGTCACAGTCAAGGGGCAGGCGCCGTCCGCCCCAGCGACCCCTTCCTCTGACATCACGTCATAAGCATCGTGCTCGGTGTTCCCAATGGCTGTTGTGCCAGCTCTTTCGTCCCGTCCGCTGGGAAATAACGTCGCCGTTGTCTCGTGTGTCTGCGTCTCTCGCTGGTTCTTGCGTACATAGTTCGTATTCGTGACTTCTTCCGTGACTGTTTATAGCTATAGACAAGAATGACATAGGTTTCTAGGCTTGCAGCCTCTCCTCCCTCCCTTCAATCGTGTGTTCCTAAGGTGTCTATCATAAGTCATCATATAAGTGTTGTGACTGGAGCCCCTGGTGAACGGAGTGCAATATGCATGAATTGTCAAGTATTAAACGTAAGGGTAACAAAGCTGTCGAGAAAAAGAGCATGAAAGCTCTACATCTATGGTCGTCTGTTCGGTCCTGCTCATGATGACTTCAAGCTGACATCCGACAGGGTCTTGAAAGCTTCTTTGTATGCATCCAGAAGTGCTTTGACCCTAGTCCGTTCCGCAACAAGGGCTTCGTCTTCATTTAGCATATCGGCGAAAAGGTCCGGTTTGTATAGCGCCGATACCAACCGATTCTGTACCTGCTGCGATGTATGGTTGACGAGGAAGTGCATGATGGCTTTTGGAATGAGATCTTGGATGCTCTGCCGTACGATGGCAAAGTAGGAGACGATAAGCGACCGGATAAGAGAAGTCTCCATTTCCTCTCGCATGGTCAACTGCGATCCATCTCCGGAAACCTGAAGAAGTGTGATAAGTTGACAGGGGAATTGAATGATGAGAAGAATTAGCAAGTCGGGATGTCAGGTATGACGGGTTATTGAATTGGGGTGGGAAAGTAATGAAAGGGTAGAAGGAAGGGTCAAAGAAAGAAAGAACGTACAGCCTCAATGTGCTTGCCTAGACTCTTCATATCGTACGCTGCATTGTTCCCATCAATACCACGCTTGCCCGCCATGAGTCCAGTCATGGAAGTATCAGCGCCAGATACGTCCCTGCCAATGGGTTGGAAATGGGCCGCTGGCTCCAGCTGATGTCCCATGCCACCATGAACACGCGAGTGTCCATGTCCGTGACCATGTGTAGGCGCCCTGTCAACACTAGAACCAGCAATCGGCCCAGGGCCGTTTTGACCAAAGAAGTAGTTCAAGAACGTTTCACGAGCAGTATTGGTGGACGGCGACCCGCTTACGCCGCTGTGGTGACTCTGGGCCTGGTTTTGGTTCTGACCGAATGCAGATTGAGGTCTCTGTTGGGTGGGTGGTTGTTGACTTTGAGAGGACCGCTGCTGATGGCGCGTTTTTGATGATGACCGCTTCGCGACGGTGCCCATGCCCATAGCGGCGGCGGCTGTGGCGTTAGCTGAGGTATTGGTCCGTGAGCGATCATGAAGGGTTGAAGAGACAGAACGCCCGTCGCGAATACCATTAGTGCTGATCGCGCCATTGAGGTCGTCTGATAGGCCCTCATCTTCGTCCTCTGGTGAAGGTCCGTAACCATTGATGGGCTCTGTAGATGACGGCTGGGAAAGAGAAGATGAGTGTCAGGCCTTGAATGATGCTGATGCAGAACTTACTCGTTGCGGAAGTTGTGGTCTAGGGGGTGGAGTCGTTTGTGCAGCAAGAGCGGAACCAGAGATGAATGCCGGGTGATTGGTGTTGATGTATGCAGCTTGAATCTCAATCAAGCTCTGCGCATATTCGGATGTTGGACCGAGTCGTTCCCGAAGAAGCTCAGAAACCACTTCAATCAGCTGAGCGTGTAGGCGAGGGAATCGTTGAAGTTCCTACAAGGATGAGTTAGGACTAATCAAACTGCGAAAATCAGTAAAATGATCTACATCACTCGTGCAATTATGGCAAATCTTCACGAGCTCCTCATAAACCAGCTCAACACATCTTAGACTCGGAGCTTCCAGCAGCTTGATCTGCGGTTTTACCAGCAAATCAAACGCCACTTCGGGGACAAATAAGCTAGGTCTGGGTCCTGTTGAGTTACGGATGGCGGTTCTGATATCTTGGTTATCCAGATTGTGGGTGGCATCAATGGAGGCGAGGGCGTGACCAAAGATGTCGTTGAAGATGTAGTATATCCGGGCACCCCCAGAAAGCTCCTTCGTCGAGATGTCGACTTTCGTGCCCTCAATGGAAGAAACGAAGTCTCGTGCAAATTGAGTCATAAGCCGTAGAATCAGAGATCCTTGCTGTATGATAAGTTAGAAAACGTTTTCTAGAAGTATCACAAGCAATATACTTGATTTTTGTCGCCAAAAACGGCGGCGTCCCCAAAGGAGTTGAGTTCTTGCTGGGCTTGTCCCATTAATGTGTTCAGTCGTGCCTTCATGTCCGGAAGCTTATCTCGGATGTGATTCATTAAGACCTAAAGGACGTTAACGTCACTAGATCCACGAGTCACAATGGGATGGCACAAACCTGATTCAAGGTCTTCGCAAGATACTTGGTGCCATTCTTGTGTGCTATATTCCTATACGCATGGTGATTCTTGAAGAATTCTTCCTCACTTTCCCTAGCGTCCGACATGCTCTTCTCCGAGTTGATGTCTTGCTGACTGCGATTGACTACACCAATGAAACCCAACTTGAGAGGATACACTCGCCCGGTGAGAATATCCAAGGCGTTAGTACCAGCATCCATGAGATCCAATTTAGTCAAAACACCAATCGTTCGTCGGCCCTGAGCGTCTATAGAGCGGGCAAGCTTCAAAGATTCCGAATTCGCAATGTCAACATTGGCGGCAGAGACGGCAAGGATGACACTATAATCGTTGAAATTGAAGCAAAGACGAAAGCTGCGGCACAGCAGACATACCTGTTGGGTTTCGAAATATAGTCAAGGACTAAATTGCGGATTTGCCGCTCGATGTCACTTGGTTGATCTCCTACGGGAATCTTAGGAAGTTGAGAAACGAGACGAGGCAGGAGCAGAAATTTGAAATACCTTTGTTAGGCCAGGCAAATCCACCAAAGTCAAATCCAAAACATTTGGACTGTATATCCGGAGCGATATGGGCAGCTTGCTAACACCTTTGTTCTGTCCAGCCACTCGGAACGTCTCCTGCTCAATCTCCTTCCGTATTTCGTTGAAATCAGTGAATCTTTTGTCGATGTGGAGAAATTGGCCCCATTCCGTATACGGCGGTGCGGTTGGTGAGGGTTCAGCCGGTGCGGGTGTATGGATGAGCTGGAGGACCAGCGGTCTGCGTGTGACGATCCCTTGGCCACGAGGAAGAAAATCCCTTCCCACTATTCTGTTTCTGAGAGTGAGTCTGACGCCGAAAGAACGGGAAAAAGCAGACACACGTCTCGAGAACGGAGGATTTTCCCGCCGATTGACTGCCAACCTTGATGCAACGCAGTCAATGTCACATTATGAAATTAGTGTAAAAAGGGTACATACAACAACCAATTGAGGCATATCCAGCTCCCCACCTATAGTCCTTTTGTTAGATTCCGATACTCTCCAAAAGTGCACAAACTGACGTACCGAGGTTGCTGAAGGTGTCCTGCAGCTTGTTCACCAGCTTGATAAGATCTAGATCCATGGCTGTGTGCCGCGCTGGTGTTTTAGTGAGAGACAGGCTGGCCCAGCAGGTATCCAAGAAGAAATGTTGCCGGGAACGCGTCTAGCAACCAGCAAAGGCAAACTTGGCAGCTCGGCAAAAGCTGTTTGACCGTGTTATTTCTGGAAGCCTTCCCCGCCAATTTGAAATGTCGTTGATCAAAGTTGGCCAATCTTGTTCCTGGACCTATAGCCATCATGATTTTTGATCTGTGTTCTTGACGCGACCACCACCACGAAAATCCCATTCGTCGTCAAGCGCTTGAGATTCGATAATCGCCTCTATTATCAGAAAATAGTTAGCGTTTTTGGTGCGTATCGCTGTGGCTTCTCGATGTTTTCTGAACCGCAAGCTTGATCGATCGTTCTAGCTACCAGCATTTCATGGAGGCGAGTCGGATCCATCAGATACAACAGCAACCCGCTCCGCAAGAGTCAAGTGCAATTCATCGTCTGCCTCCAGATGTGCTGCGTGTTATCTTCCACCTATGCAATCCCCGTGTCGCGGTTTACCGTGACCCACGTCTCTTGAATCCATATGCGATACGGTGGCCGTGGTGCCTTGGAGAGACCTGTCGTTATTGGAGAGATGTTGTTCTCGAGACGGCAACACTTTGGTCTTACATCAACCTCTACATGTCGAAAACGCATCTAGACAAGAATCTCATTCCCCGTGCAACGATCTGCCTACAAAGGTCTCGTGGATCTCGGCTTACTATCCGCTTTCACAACTCCCGGTCAAATCCAGATAAGTGCCTGCCTCTTGATATGCTCACAGCTCACTCGGATCGTTGGTACGATGTGCAACTCCACATGCCGATGTCACTGCTTCCCAAGTTGGACAGGATTGAAAATAGGGTGCCGCTACTGCGTCGGCTCCATTTCAGCACCAATTCATTATTGTCGCCATTTTCTCCGGAGCGCACACGCGCATTCTCAAATACTCCTAACCTACGGGATGTCAAATTGGAATTAATCAGCCCAATATCTTTCAAGATTAATTGGTCCCAGATCACTCGCTATGCTGGGGTCTGCGTCCCAACAAATTCAAATATCTTTTACCAGGCGACCAATCTTGTCATTTGCGATACATTCGCATACCAATTTCCAAACCAACCATTCCTGCCAGTCACTTTACTCTACCTACGTTCTCTTACGATGTCTCTCCGGTCAACTACGGCACCAGGGAATGCCAATTCTTTGAGCTACCTCACCCTCCCTGCCTTGGAGACCCTAGATTTTTTAATCATGTCACAAGTGGAAAATATGCTTGGTTCCATCGTCGAGTTGATTCATCGGTCATCCTGCACTTTGAAAGTATTTCGGCTACAAGGATTTTACCGTGTTTTTCCCATCCGTCTTCCAGAGGAGGATGTCACAGCCCTTTTCAAGGCGTTGCCATCTGTTGTGGATCTTACCATCGATGGTATCAATGCCTTGCTCACGGACGCTGTCATTGGCAAGCTGACATGTCGGTCTCCCCCTGATGCTGAACCTCTACTTCCATCCATCCAGTCATTATCTATAAAGGTCTGGGAGAAGGAGCCTCTTGGCTCCACGGCATTCATGAACATGCTCCTGTCAAGAACGCGAGAGAGAAAGCTGACCCATGAGCAACCATCGGTCGCTTCCTTCCGACGGCTCCGAATTTATCATCGAGGTGATTCTCCCGGCTCAAAATATCCGAGCAAGGTGCATGTCCTCCTAGGCTCCGACACGACATCATGTCTGGATCATTTGGTGCAGCATGGTATTGAGGTTATTTATTCTATGTAAGCTCGAACATGTGCACGAGGTTTAGGCAGGAAGGAAGAAATGCATTCACCCAACTTCGCTCGGACGATTTGATTTTCTCCCTGCCTCGTGCCGCAACAAAGCTGGTTTGACATTCCTACTCAGTGATTTCACAACAATATGTCCTTCACGGCCATGGAAACTCACCTGTCGAAGTCATCCTAGCCTCCTTTCTCAGGCCATCCAACGCTGACGCGTTCAGAAGCCTGCGCGTGTTTGATAAATCACAACTTTCTCCACAACTTCGGTGTGTTGAAGGCTTAGTACGCTTCTCATTCGATTGCTACTATTATTGTAGGTCGCTCCTAAACGGACGTCGCTGGCAATTTGCTAGCTTGAACGTGCATGAACGTTTGCGATGAATGCCACATTCCGCTCTACGCCCTGATTTCACGATGTCTCCGTCTCGATCTATATGGGTTTTCGCCGTTCGAGATCTTGGAATTATGCGATCTCGACCATTCCCCAAATGGGGTTGAATGCTTAATCTTGTTTAGGAGTGAACTTGTGCCTATGTACCTCGTCCTCGGGCTCCGGTACCCTGGTCGAGACATGCAAAGTCTTGCCTGCAATGCGCTGCATATATATTTGGAGAGCTCGAAATTGGTTCCGTCTTTCCCGTGGTTGACCTTTTCCTTCCACTTTTTCTTTCCTACCTCGCTTTGCTTTCTATTCATGGATTTAAAGGATCCCCTCCGTCAAGTTCAGGGTAAGTGTGTCTTTCTTCAAGTTGTAAGCAGCCGAAATTTCTTGACTTGCCTTTTTCTCAGTTACGTCTTTGATTTGCTCGACCTTTGCTATTGGATCAACTATCTATCGCTTTTACTTGCGGAGAACAAGGCTTTGGGTTGATGATGTTAGATCTCGAATTGCACAACTACATCTTTATGAAGCTGACTAGCTCGACGTGCCAGGCGTTCTCTCTGTTTTCTATGTTGATCCTAGCCATCCAGGTCGCTGCCGTTTTGCTTTTCCCAAGTAAGACGGACCAACGCCAGCAAAACAATATGGCTTAACCGCTTACCTATCCCTTTCGTAGCCCGCAGCAATGGAGTTGCTCGCTACTACGTTATAACGACAACGTTTTATGTCATCGTATGGTGCGACCTTCGGGACTTCTCTTCAACCAGCTGATCTTACATCGCATCGTCAAGGTCTTCCCGATTTTCGATTCTTTTTTCCGTAATTCGAATCGACCCCAGCAAGCTAAGGCGGCCGTATCTATATCTCATCGGTGCTTTATTCCTCCTCGTCTGTTTTTTCCTCGTGGCCCAGTTATTCTATGTATGCACGCCACAAACAGCCTGGCGGGAGATGAAGGTTCCGCAATGTAATCTAAGCACGCAAGTGGCAATATGTAAACTCACTTGTAGGTCCAGACTATTTTGCCGTGAATTACTCTCATTGCTTCCGCAGTTGACGCCGTCGCTGACCTCCTCCTGCTCGGGCTTCCTATCAAGCTTTTCTTTGTACTTCAAGACAAATGGTTACGCCATCGCCTGACAGTGATTTTTTCGACCTGTATCATTACTTCCATCGTCGCTATTGTCCACGCCATATATATTCTTAACCGCGGCGGACCAAAAATCGTGATTGTCGGTCTAGTCGAGGTAAGTCGGAGTTCTTCACCCGACTGCTCTTCTGCGTCCATTAGCTGCAGCCGTTAATTTACTTCATAGGCAAGCACCTCCCTCATAGTTTGCAATTTTCCTATCATCGCGGCTACCTTCCTTCGTTTGGGGGACCAAAATTCCGCAGAGAATTCGCGCCACGAAAATCCGCCTGGCTCATCCCAAATTCCCACTCTCGCATTTATGGCTCTTCCTCTAACTCAAGTATCTGCAACGTTCACTGTCACCGACACGTCTGTCCTACAAATACCAGTGCCTTCAAAACGACCAAGCAGGGCTCAGCTTCTGCCAGATGATGCTCGGATCGGTTAATGACCGCATCTATGAATAATAATATGAATGAATGTATCTATCTTTGCTACTCGCAGGTGTATCCCTATCAATGTATGTTGGTCTGAATATATGAATCTTATGCTTCGATGAATGTGCTTGACGGAATTTCGGTGCAGAATTCCACGGAGGACTTGACGCTAGAGCACGATCTTCTGCGAAGGTGGCCAGGATGACGGAGCGGGAAACTTCATAATTTTCAGACTAGCATGAATGATCCGTGGATAGATTCCGAAATTGAAATTATCAACAGGTTGACCCCAATCGACACCAAATCCGCACAGACACAGGTTATCGTAAAAAAATGTGCCGTCCAAAAGAAGTGAGTTGCATTTCAGAACCTACTATCCGACTCTGGGGGTATGTATAGATGTATAGGCTGTGACACTCTGGCTCAAAATTTCCACTCATTTTTGAGGATCATAGTACACTTATAACACTTGAGAAAAATAGAACATCTCTGGTAAATATCTTTCTCCTCTGAACAACCTCCGTGAACGCACAGAATTGCCTTACAATTTTGACGAGCGGATCACTGTGTATCTGGCGTAAGTAACCTGTGCTAGTCCCTGGGTCCACATCGTAAAATTCAGTCTTCATTATAGGGATGTAGAATAATACAACATGCCAAACTTTCCCAATGCATACCACCATGATCCAGGTGCAAATTCAGGTGATATATTACTGGGTGTTGTTTGGGTGAGGTCCTAATTCTGCTGACTCAGCAAGACACGTCGACGAGCTTACACCAAGCTCACGCGAATATTTCTTTCCTTCAACATCAACTTACAGGACATCTCTAAAGAGGCCTCTATCGACGCTGTTGGCCATGTCGACGGCCTACCCCCTCCCTACAGGCCTTTCGCCGGCGACGGTCAAAAACACTGCTTCGCTGCTTCGGATCGTCGCACTCGCGCTTATTTCTGGCGCCGCTATCGCCTCTCGTTTGTTTGCTGTCGTCAATTTTGAAAGTATCATCCATGAATTGTGAGCATGATATGCTTCTCTGGGATGGGCTTTGTGCTGACAGTTTTGTTTAGCGATCCATGGTTTAATTAGTGAGTTTTTGACACTTCCATTGCCCAGGATTGGATGTGACACTGCAGTTTGACGCAGTCGAGCGACAAAGGTGTTGGCTTCGAAGGGTTTCTATGTGCGTGCTGTCAAATTCGTCCAAATGTTGTGCTAATCAATTCGACAGGAATTCTGGAATTGGTTCGATCCCACTGCGTGGTACCCCCTCGGAAGGGTCGTTGGTGGAACCGTTTACCCAGGCTTAATGGCGACCAGTGGTGTCATCTACAACGCACTGCACGCTCTCAACCTGCCTGTGGATATTAGAAATGTGTGTGTGCTGCTAGCACCTGGGTTTAGTGCGTTGACAGCATGGGCTACGTATATGTGAGTCTCAGTGGCAAGAATTATGCGAGTTTCAGCCTGACACCCTTCATAGGCTTACAAAGGAAATGAAGGATGAAAGTGCAGGTCTTCTTGCGGCAGCCTTCATTGGAATTGTACCAGGCTATATCTCGCGTTCAGTGGCAGGTTCCTACGATAACGAAGCTATTGCCATCTTCCTCCTCATGTTCACCTTCTTCTGCTGGATTAAAGCTCTGAAGCAAGGGAGCGCATTGTTCGGTACCATCGCTGCAGTGTTCTACTTCTACATGGTCGCGGCTTGGGGCGGATACGTGTTCATTACGAACATGATACCCCTGCACGCTCTCGTCCTCATACTCATGGGCCGATTCTCTCACCGCCTCTACGTAGGGTACTCTTCCTGGTACGTTGTTGGGACTCTTGCGAGTATGCAAGTCCCCTTCGTTGGTTTCCAGCCTGTCAGCACTAGTGAGCATATGGGCGCACTCGGTGTCTTCGGTCTCCTCCAGATCGTAGCTTTCACTCAGCTCGTTCGGTCGCACTTGTCATCTACACAATTCCGAAGCCTTCTTAATGTTGGCCTCTTTGTTGTTGGTATCCTCGGAACCGCAGCCTTTGTTGGCCTGACAGTCAAGGGCACAATTGCGCCATGGACCGGTCGTTTCTACTCGCTCTGGGATACCGGTTACGCCAAAAAGTAATCTTCTTTCAATTGCTTTCCCTGTCTACTGCTGACTGTTTCATCTAGGTACATCCCCATCATTGCCTCAGTCTCCGAACATCAACCGACGGCCTGGCCTTCTTTCTTCATGGATCTCCAGTTCCTCATCTTCCTCTTCCCCGCAGGTGTCGTCATGTGCTTCCGCGAGCTTCGTGACGAGCACCTCTTTGTGATCATCTACGCCGTCATGGCCAGCTACTTTGCTGGGGTTATGGTCCGTCTTATGCTAACTCTTACCCCCGTTGTTTGCGTGGCTTCCGCAGTCGCTCTATCAACCTTATTGGATACTTACATTGATCCCACTGAACCCGATGTCGTTGAAGAGCAAGTCCCTGCATCCACTGATACTACGGCATCTCCTGCTCAGGCTGTGGCAACTCCAGCCACCACTTCCAAGAAGGCTAAGAAAGCTGCGGCTGCTGGTCCCCCACCAGTTTCAAGCCCTCTCACCAATCTCATTGCAGCTACTTCTCCGGCGAAGAAGGGTAGTGCACCCCCACCTAAAGGCATCTTCGGGATCGACGCTCGTCTTGTTGTAATCCTCAACACCCTTAGCATGCTCTTCTTCTTCGTATTCCATTGTACCTGGGTCACATCCAACGCGTATTCCTCACCCTCTGTCGTCTTGGCGTCGCAGAACCAAGACGGAAGTCAGCATATTATCGATGATTTTCGTGAGGCGTATTATTGGCTCAGGCAAAACACACCTGAGACGGCTGTCGTTATGAGTTGGTGGGACTATGGATATCAGATCGCCGGTATGGCTGACCGGCCGACTCTGGTTGACAATAACACTTGGAATAACAGTAAGCCACTCCCCTCTTCCATTTGCATTTGCTGACGTCACTCTCGCCAGCTCACATCGCAACAGTTGGCAAGGCCATGTCAAGTTCTGAGGAGGTTGCCTACCCCATCCTTCGCAAACACGATGTCGACTACGTTCTCGTCATCTTTGGTGGGCTTCTAGGCTACTCCGGTGACGACATCAACAAGTTTTTGTGGATGGTTCGGATCGCTCAAGGTGTTTGGCCCGATGAGATACAGGAACCCAATTATTTTACCCCTCAGGGAGAATACAGAGTCGATGACCGCGCATCGCAGACGATGAAGGACAGTTTGATGTACAAAATGTCTTATTATCGGTGGGTGTTTTGATCTTGCCCCGTGTTTTAGACGGCGATTGATGAGGGTTGCTTGATAGATTCGCGGAACTCTTTGGTGGCCAGCAAGCCACAGACAGGGTTCGCCAGCAAGTTCTGCCAAAAGCCGGACCTACATTGGATTATCTCGGTTCGTGATGTCGTCGTGCTCGATCTTGTGGGCGTTTGGACTAACGTTACCGTTGCTAGATGAGGCATTCACCTCTGAAAACTGGATCGTACGTCTTGAAACCTACTTTTTTTTTTTTTGCACCTCGTCTGACTTTCCGCCTGTAGGTACGTATCTATCAGGTCAGGAAAGAGGACCCTCTGGGACGAGACTTAAAATCTGCAAATGCTTTCGAAAAGGGGAAGAAGCGGAAACGCAGTAAGCCACAACAAAGGCGGAGGGTGGCAGTCGCTTAAAAAGTAGTGTAGATTTGGACGAGGCTGCTGACCCCTGCATATGACGGGAGTATAAAAAGTTGTATTTCTTAAACATCCCACGTCGAGGTGGAATAAGCATTGGAGAAGAGGATAGGTCTTGCAGATGTTCCTCTGTTACTTGCTTACCTAAGCCAACCTTCGCTTTCAACTTGTTCACACTGTCATCGATTACTCAGTAGGTATGCACTACGCCCATGTCAAGTTCTCGCGTCTAAAAACTCAATTAAAAAGATGCAATTGGGTCTACGCGATGCTGGCTCAAGTGAAGGCCATATTCATTGCCTTCCTTTTGAAATTTTATGCACCATTTTCAAGCTTTGCGGGTCAATTCCATTCGACCGCTTTGCAGCTCCTTATCCGTTCGAAGATCAGTTTGATATTCCAGATTTCATAGAGGACCACCTTTGGCCATGGGCGTTAGGACAAACATGCCGACGTTGGAGAGAAATAGTTCTCCACCTTCCTTCACTTTGGTCAACCATCCATGTCAACCTCGGCGGACTCGATGGCGTTGCTGCGATACAAGAACAGACATCCAATTTTCGCCGGGTGCAGATATGTTTGCAGCGATCCACCCAGTCACCCCTCTACATACGCTTCAAGCGTGGTGTTGAGCCCATCGACAGTTGCACAGTCTTGGATCTCCTCACGTTGCATTCTCGGCGGTGGTATGACGTCGAGTTATACATACCCTCTTCCTTGTCTTTCAGCTTAGTCTTCAAACTCAGAAATCGCATTCCTATTCTTCGCAACCTCACATACGGCAATCGCTCACCAAAGCGGTCGGTGACGAATGTCATGGACACGTTCATGACTGCTCCTTCTCTCTGTCAGATTAAAATGATCAATATTGGGCCTAAGAAAATGCCAGTGGATTGGCTCAAGATCAATGACTATACGGGCCCCGTGAATGACAACGATTTCAACATATTTTTGGCAGCCCCGAACCTCGTCCGCTGCACCTTACCTTGGCTGACTTCTCGGTCGTCAACTATTCCCCCTCCATTAACCCAGTTGCGCGCACTCAGTTTTTACATCGACGGAAGATTGATGAAACCGTTGGACCAACTCACGTTACCGGTTCTGGAAGACTTGCGCATTTGCATCTACTACCTGCTACCGAAGGGAGGTTTCGACGGCATCAGCTCCCTTCTCCAGCGTTCTTCGTGCACTCTGAAAGCCCTCCATCTGGACTTTAATCCCCTTCGCAGTCCAGGTTCCCAAAGTGTGATGCGGTTGTTCGAAACCGTTCCGAAGCTTGAGAAGCTCACCATAGTTGCCTGTGAAACTATCTTTACCAACGAGATAGTCCGAAGGCTAGCTTTCCAGGACGATGGCCCCCAGCTTGACGTGTTACTCCCCCTATTAGACATACTGGGTTTCATCATTTATGATAAAGAGCCCTCGGACACGGCCCTGCCCATCTCCATGCTACAATCCAGAAGGCCAAATCTACCTATACCTAATGTGAACAGCACGGATCTTTGCCTCAGGCGTCTACGTGAAGTCAGGTTTCATGGACACACTACACATCTATCTGCCACAACAACTGCGGAACTGAATATCTTAGCAAGTAGCGACCTGGGTGTCGTAATCGAGCCACACTATCCCGGAATACCCCCCAACTAGATTCTCATTGTACCCACCGAATGCCCGCATGCTTTCCTAAAAACAGACAATCTGGTTCCATCCAGTCCTGCTGACGTGTGTAAAAAGGAGAGTTAGAAAAGCAAAGCAATAGATTCGTCATTGTCGGATCAACTACCTTTACGCGCTGCTTATACCCACAAGATATTTCTACCCACGGCGGGCGCTCTCTGAACCGTTAATCCCCGCGATCTCGATCATTTGACGCTCAATGAACACTGAATTGTTCCTGGCACCTGCGAGGCCAAAGACATTGCGAAGACATATACAAAATGGGACAATCACGATAAGACACAGTTGTTCAACGTGGAAAAGACATGAGGCCTCAACTGTCTACTGACGAAGCTCACTTCTCTCGTCTTTTTTGCTAGTTGGGTCCGACACTCAATCTTATCACTGTCGCGAAACCGGCAATACTGGAGTGGGTCAATGTTTGCTGGGAGCTGAAGCCTGAGGCTGCGGCTCTCCCCCAATGAATTTCTTATTAGAATGGTCTCTCCGCTGAAATTGAGTACAAACGTTTCTCAAACAGTTCCGAAGATTGGCGTAAATTTGTCCCAACAAACGGCAATGCGGGCGTGTGCGCTGCTGAAAAGTTGAAGACCGTTGGGGTCGAAAGGAGAAAGGTCAACTGGGTAGGTGAGAGGTCATAAAGCCGGTGCGAGAATCCAAGGCCCGAGGGTCCAGACTCCAGGCTATCCGGACTTGACCAAGACATCAATATCAACCGCTCCGATGAAATGAAAAAACCTCTGTTTGCAGTTAAGCAAAATATGCATTGACAATCTACCCATAAGTACCCTAGATACGTCGACGGACTACAAGGACGCCACAAACCATTATCGGCACTCGCCAGTCTGTGTGTGCATGGCTCCACGTCAAAAAGCACAATGTCCGATAAGGACTGCGAGTCCCTTGGCAGGCTTGGATGGCTGGCACAAGGAATTTGGTACGAGGTAGCTCTGGTATATGGCACTCAGAGCCTCATTCGCGATTCGAGTTTACTTTCTGGGAGCCGCTGTAGCGGTGTGTTTACAAAGACTGGGTTGAGCTCTAGCTGATACTTGGGCTATTTTTAGAAATGATAACGATCACGTGATCAAGTCTGTTCAGAACATCCAGTGCCACGGTATCAGCCAATGAAAACTTCTCTCAGTCACCGTTGGCGCCTTACCAGCAACTTGGTGATGTCTTCTCCTTTTGATTTAGTCTCTCAAGCCCACGCATGGGACCTTTTACGTACACCTCCTGTCCTTGTCAAGAACCATCAAAGAGTACTACAGCAGAGCCATGTCGAAGAAGAACGACGAGACAGGAACTCAAGTAACGGCGATTGAACAGGATCGTTCGGATTCGTTTTCGTTGATTCGCGCCGACAATGCAAAACTTGCTGAACTTGGGTACAAGGCCGAATTCAGACGCGAATTTTCGGTAAGAGTATCATTTTTCTGCCAGTGAAGAACTACGAGACTGAGGCATTCTGCAGCTATTGGAGACCGTCGCTTTTGCTTTCTCGATTATGGGGGTGATAGCCTCCGTTACATCGACCTTGTCATTCGGCCTCATCAATGGTTCGATCGATTGCTTTTAGTATGTTGCATAATGCTGAAGAATTCTAGGGGGACACGTTGGAATGGTTTTTGGCTGGCTAATACCGTCCCTGTTCGTGATGTTTGTTGCCCTTAGTATGGCAGAGATGGCTTCGTCGATGCCGTAAGCTCGTTCGCCTTGAAACCCTCATGCAAAATCATACATTTTTGCCAGTACAAGTGCCGGCCTGTATTACTTCTCGGCTAAGCTGGCGCCTCCAAAGTATGCACCTCTTGCAAGTTGGATAACAGGTGAGTGTTCATTCCCGCATGTCCGAACGTGCGCTCATCGCTGAAACATTCCCGCGTAGGATGGGCCAATGTAACCGGACAGATAACCCTAGTTTGCTCCATCGACTTTACATGCGCTCAGATGATCACCACGGCCATCGCAGTCCAGACCAACGGGGCCGTGATTATGTCTTCTGGCGCAACATTTGGAATTCTCCTGGCCATTTTGTTTGCTCATGGTGTCGTCTGCTCGGCATCAACTAGTTTCTTGGCTAGGTTGAATCTATTATATGTTCTCATCAATGGAAAGTACTCATCGTTCGTTTGTCAATTCGACATTGATTCTTTCAAATAGTGGGGACAACCATTGCTGCAATCATTACCCTACTCGTCGTTTCTGGCGATAAAAAGGTGTCGACGGCTGATGCATTCACACTGTTCGAAAATAACTCGGGGTGGAAGAGTGGTCAGTTCCTTCGCCTTTTCACTTCCGTTTTGTAACCGCTTAGATTTAGATGGTTGGGCATTCATGTTGGCTTTCACTGCACCAATGTGGACATTGACAGGGTGTGCGTTCGCTTTTGATTCCAATTGAACACTTCCTTACCCATGCATAAATAGACGACTCTGCTGCTCACATTTCCGAAGAAATAGCAGGTGCCGCTAAAGCAGCGCCCATTGCAATTTTGGTTGGCGTCGGTGCAACCGCAGGATTTGGATGGCTACTTCTCATTGCGACCTCATTTGTGATTACGTCCGTAAGTGACCTCCTCGCGACGGAGCTTCCCCTTCCAATGGGTCAAGTATTTCTCAACGTCCTTGGGAAACGTGGCATGCTTGCACTCTGGTCCTTGATTATTGTTGTCCAAGTGCGTACCGCATTCCAATGCAGATCTTACGCTGAATCAGATGAAAGTTCGTGACTGGAGCGGCGCAACTTGTTGATGCTTCGCGTGTAGTATTTGCCTTCGCTCGGGATAACGCCCTTCCAGGCTCTCGTTATCTGAAAAGGGTAAACCACTCTACACAGACACCCGTCAATGCTGTTTGGTTTGTCGCTGTCATTTCGGCCATCTGCGGCGTACTGGGATTTTCGGCGACTGCTTTCAATTCTCTTGCGAGGTTGGCATCCAAAGATTCAGTTTTTTGGCCTGCTCTCACGTCTCACATCCCCTCCTAGCGCATCAGTGATTGGGCTTTACACATCATACGCGGCTCCTATCTTCCTCAGAATTACTTCAGGCAGGGACAAGCTCAAGCCTGGGCCGTTCACGCTTGGGCGTTGGGCAGTCCCTGTCGGGGCAATCGCAGTCGCATGGGTCGCATTTATTGTTGTCGTGTTATTCTTTCCCCCAGGACAGACCATAGATGCTAAAGAGATGAGTATGTGTATTAACGCCATCTCCACATTTTTCAAGCTGACTGGGGGCTAAGATTATGCCGTTGTGATTATCATGGGTGTTTTCATATTTGCTTCCGCATCTTGGGTGCTCTCAGCCCACAAATGGTTCCACGGACCCGTTCGAAACATAGATGACGATGGCGAAGAGAAGACTTCCATATAAGTAGGGCCGTTTTACGCATGGGTAGTTTTCGGATGGTTTGGCCTATGCATGCTATTGTCATCTGTCGGGTTCCTCGGGTCATCGTTGTATGAGTATATACTTTTTTTGAAATCTAGATCAAAAAGTTGGTTGGCAGATTTGGTTAGCAGTTTTCCCCTGACCAGGTGTGGCCGTTTGACATGGAAGATCGGAGAATAAGTTACGGCACTGGCAGGTTACGGCACACCAACGTACTCGATCGACCCTAGCTCGACAATCTCCCTTCCTGTCGGATGGCAACTTGATCTTTGAATCTTAACAACAAAACATTGCTGTAGATCCACGCGATATATATGTAAAAGTGGTAGCTCCGCGTTGAGAAGCACTTAGCGCCGTATACATGATACACAACGAGTATGATGGACAACCTAAGTTTCCTTTCATCCGGGACGAAAGCTTTTTGACGCAAATTTGAAAAGGGGCAAGTATCTCTGAAGTTTTTTCGCTCGAAATGACACAAGGAGCCCCTATGATTCACTGCCAATAATGGTGCGCAGAGAAACTTGATTTGAAACTTCTTTAAAATCGTTATAGTTACACATAAAATGGACATCAAATCTGTCAATACGAAGGACACCAAGCAAGATGCATCTATTGGCGGCTTGCTACGAAGAGGGAAAAAAAGGAAAGGATCACACAAATGGACGAGACCACCAAAGGTTTCGCGAACTGAAGCATAGTTGTTCACCCAACGACAGCCTTACCTAACGGGGTTTTCGCCATGACGCTGAGTACCTCAAAAAGCACCTGTGCAAAAATACATCAACAACCCATTTTAAGGAGATTAAAATAATAGATCTTACATCCGCTGCAGCCTGTTAGTATAATAAATCATCAAGGCGCGTAGATCTGGTTAAATACGGAAAGACTCACCATAGTAGTGAGCTCGGCGTTCGTATCGTATGCGGGGGCGACTTCGACGATATCAGCCGACACAATACGGAGTCCGTCAAGACCTCGAAGGATGGTCCTGAGCTCGCGGGTTGACCAGCCTCCTGTTTCCGGCGTCCCGGTAGCCGGTGCAAAAGCAGGGTCTATGGAGTCAATCTGATGGAAAACATGCCTCCAATTAGTAAGAAAACGAGGATTGAAAACGAGGCAGAGATTCTGACATCAATGGATAGATAGACAGGGTTATCGCCGACTGTGTCTCGTATCTTCTTGACGATACCATCCGTACCTAATTGAATGCCGATAAGACAAAGGTGAAAGTCGCCTCATAATATTTTGACCAACCAATTGTGTCAATTTCGCGAGCTTCAATCCGTTGAAAACCAGAAGCGTCGTCGTTTACATAGTCCTCGAGGCTGGAGAGCGTTGTTCTGATCGCTCCGTGCTGTAATGAACGAACTAGGATCAAAGCTCTCGGAACGGCATAGATGTAAAAAGAAAAAGGAGGGGTAAAAAAAAATTGAAGGGACTTGCAATGGATGTTCCGTTCTTAATTAACCCCTCTTGGCTAGCCCAATAAAAGTAGGTACCGTGATTAATGGCGGCCTGGGCTGATGGTGCTCCTCCAAAAATGGAGGGCTTCCAGGTATCTGTGGTCAACACGTTAAGGAAAATGGGAACAATTGAATGAGAACAAACAATACCGAGGTGTGAGTCGAAGTGAATGACCGAAATCGGGCCATAGACTGAGTGAATAGAGCGAAGTATAGGGAGGACGATGGTGTGGTCGCCACCAAGAGTAATAATTCGAGGATGGTGCCCTCCATCAAGAGAGATGGGGACGAGTTTCTCCCCAGTGAGCGAGTCGTTACCCAAAGGAGAGAAAGTTTCGCGTTGAAGCAATGCCTTGTGACCCTCCTCGATTTGCTGGATAGCAAATTGGTTGTCGTACGGCCTTGAATCATCTTATGTCACTCCAGGAACGCCAAGATATCCGTCCACTTACGTGACAGGAATATCGCCGCAATCTACTACCCTGAGACCGGAATTGAAGGGGTTGACTTGCAGAGGAACGTTGTATCCGCCATACAACGTCAAACGACGTGAACCTGCGCGTATTCCGGCTAGGTCTATGGATCAATATGAGGAAACTGAGCTAAAAACAAAGGGCTGACCTGGGCCGAACCGAGCTCCGGGCCTGTAACTGGTCCCGGTGTCCTACAGATCATGTTCAGTGAACAACAGGTCCCATCACACAAAAAAATTCTTACAAATGGTGCTCCGATGAAAGCGATGTCAAAAGGAACGTGGCTCTCTCTCGTAAGACACTGAACCCATGGCAGTTTGGCGAATGTCGTGATGCCAGAAAAAATCGCGTCCGCCGTTACTGCCACGCAAGAAAATTAAAGACAGCCATGCATAGATTATTATCGACTCACCTTCGCCGGTTAAGCTACGATAAACTGGTTGGAAAGGGAATCTAACGTATTCCAAAGGAGCCTGATTATTGTGGTCATCGTGGCCATGAGCAACGACTGAGGAGAAAATCGCAACAGCAACTAGGAAGAGGGATACCATGTCCACTGGTAAAATGATGCTTTCCTCGACCTACCTCCTGGTTATAAATGAATGACCACGGGAAAATTGTGCTGAAAAAGATAACCCTAAAATGTGAACCTCATGACTATCCGTGACGGGAAGTCATGATAAGGGCTGGAGGGAACCAAGTGTGTGGGTATGACGCTAGGCGTGTTTCGCCTTGAGGCGATGGGTACCGCGACATATGTGTCAGGGAGGCCACCCACACCTTGCCAAACTATCGAGATTCAGAGGCGCAAACACGTCAAGTGACGCAGCACACGCTCGATGTGGAGGGGCAAAAATTGCAATGCCGATCGATCTAAGTGGGGTTGAGCTTAGCAAGAAATGCCAGTGGAGGGAAAACACTACCTTAGCAGGTTAAAAGCTGGACCGAAAGGTGGAAGAAAATTTTAAGCCACGACCAACTTGGCGTTGGACTGATCAAGCCCCATGCCTCCGCCAAATAACGTCGACGAAAGGGCGCCTTTGTTGGCCCACCAAATTCATGGCGAACGCACTTCTGCAGTTGCGGTCTTGCCCTCGTCGTACTCAGTGACGGAAGTTGAAATTCCAAATCAGGAAGCTTGTTCCGCCCATCAGCGCACCCTAGATTTTAAGCTTTTCAAGTCTCTTCTCGTTGATTCGATTCCAGGTAAGAACCATCATCCAAGATTTGAAGAGGGCAATTAGGTTCTCATCGCCGAAACATGGATAGTAATCCTTTCGTATACCCTCCAAAATTCGATTCAAACTGTCTCTGTTATCATCGCTGGACGGCTTGGGCCGGACGAATTGTCCGTGGCAGCATTCTCACTGATGCTAGCCTTCGTAACTGGCGAGTCCTGGATTTTATGACTTTCTGAGTAGTGATCCCACGTCTTTCCTTTTTTTGTGAATAGGGTGGTGTGTCGCCCTTGGGGGGACTACAGCTCTGGATACCCTCGGTTCACAGGCCTTTACTGGGGGCAGTAAGCCAACCGATCTATCCATCCATTTTCAGAGGTGCCTCATCATTTTATGGTCACTGTTAATTCCTGTCGCTCTTGTCTGGGCTTTTATTGAGCCCATTCTTCTTTCCTTGGGCCAACCTCCAGCGCTTAGTCGAGACGTTCAGCAATTTCTTCGCGTTTTAATATTCGGAGCCCCAGGTTACATTGGCTTTGAGAGCTTGAAGAAATATCTACAATGCCAAGGCGGGTCCCGTTCTCCTTTTCGTCGAAAAGCTATTCTAAACTTGTTTCTTTAGGCATCATGGGAGCGTCGACAATTATTTTGGCGATTGTATCGCCAATAAATATCCTGCTGCATCTTTGGCTCATTCACCACACCTCTCTTGGAATCCTAGGTTCTCCTCTAGCCTTGTCGATTACCTACTGGATCTGCTTTCTTCTTCTGGGGGTTCTGACATACTTCTCGCAAAAACACAGAGAAAATGGGACATGGGGCGGTATTCGTCTCGGCGAAGTGCTAAGCTTTACGAGTTGCTATCAGTTCTTACAGCTCGCGATTCCCGGAATTTTGATGGTGGGAACAGAGTGGTATGGTTAACACACGAATATAACTGAAACGTTTGCTGAGCCTGTTTCTAGGGCTGCCTTTGAAATTGTTGCCTTGGCTGCAGGACGGCTTGGGGCTGTTCCTCTCGCTGCACAGTCCGTGATTATGACTACAGATCAGAGTAAGGACCAAATTTTCTGAGTCGTCGTGCTACTGACGTAGACTGAGCGATCAGTATTAAACACCATTCCCTTTGGCATCGGGGTGGCGGCGTCCACACGGGTGGGGAATCTTATCGGGTCTCGTAATGCATCTGGCGCTAAGCATGCAGCCCACGCGTCAGCTCTCATGAGCGTGATAGTCGGCGCTCTCGTAATGGTGGCTATGATTGCTTTTAAAGATGTAAGTAAAGGAAGGTTACTTGAAGCTTGTATGTCGCTACTGACGTATTCTATATTTAGGTGTATGGCTATTTTTTCAGTGACGATAAGGATGTCGTGTTGCTAGTCAGCAAAGTCATGCCACTTGTCGCATCATTTCAAGTCGCAGACGGTCTTGCAGGATCGTGCGGTGGTGTCCTTCGCGGACAAGGTTTTTTATTTTCTTGCCCTTCCGTTTTCTTTTTGTTTTAAAACATTTTTATTAACTTTCAAGGCCGTCAACATCTTGGTGCCCTTTTCAACATTGTTGCTTACTACGTCCTTGCCCTTCCGATGGGGCTTACACTCGCGTTTCACCCGCGTGCTGACCTCGGTCTCCAAGGGTTATGGATTGGTTAGTCCTCGAGAAAGTTAGGTGTTTCTCTACTGATTTTCCTCCCTGCATACTCAGGTCAAGTTGTCGCGCTGTTCATTGTTGGCATCGGTGAATATTGTGTTGTTTGGTTGGGAACAGATTGGGAAAAGGAAGTCCAGTTGGGCATTGAGAGAACCGGAGCGACACCAAACTTCACTTCACTTCGGGAATTCCGGGATGAAGCTTATACTTGATATTGAGTCTTATTACGCTGAGGTCACATTTAGACAGGGTATGATAGTACTCCTAGATGTTATGTTGTATTATGCGTCTCCTTCAAATACTCGGAATGGCCTCGTCTGACGAACTCCGTTGAAAGGAGTTTATTTAAATTTGGCAAGAGATCCGTCCGAAGACCCGGAACCTGCTGTATCGTACTTTTGAGAATAAATGTGTGCGGTTGACTGGATTTAGTGCGGGAGGATGGTACTGTGGTATTTCGACCGACTGTTCGGTCACTCGTCACATTGGCCTATGAATTGAACAGATCTGGCGCTTGTCACGGGTCACCTGGAAGGTCGAATAGGGTGACATTTTATCCTAAAAAGGAAAAAAAAAACTCATTTTTCTCTGCTGCGCGGCGTACAACTATTACAAAACTATATACCATCCACTAAATATGCTTTTACCCAACATAGGCGTCCAAATGGGATATAAATGTCAAATTATAGGAATCTAGAACTTTTTTGGCCACAATCAGGAGAGAGTTGCACTGGATGAGAGGTTGTGGAGGAGGCAAGAAGGTTGCTGCCAGATGCCATATCAACTGCTCAACGAACACTCGTCGCTGGCCGAACACTTTCATTGCTATGTCATACAGTGATCCCGATTTCGAACACGCCTCCCGACTGTTCGAGGCCGTCACGCGTCACATTGGCCGAACAGTCGGTCGAAATACCACAGTATACTCGAACTTCAACTTGAAATGGGCGGGGGTTTGACAAAATTTGCCGTACTAGCACCTCTCTTGTCTTTTATTATCATAATTGTAAAAAAGGCACTAGCAGGAATAGTATATTGGCATCCTGTGCAAGCGAGATTCAGCCTAAGGATCGATGTCACCTTCTTTGGAGGTTTTTTCGAAGGCAGGCCCGTCTACCAACTCGTTTGAGCGCAAACTTCAAAGCGCAGATAGACAGGGTTGAGTGTTCCACCGAAGTGGTGTGGTAAATGCCTGATTCAGTTAGTTCACCACGGCTCCAACTGGTGATTACGCCTAAATTGAAGTCCCATCCAAATTAAACTCTCTCCTGACCACGCGCATAGATCAACCCGCAGTATATATGGGCGGATATTCCATGAGATCAGGGCCCTGCTGTGGTAATCGTATGCCGCTATCTTGATGAATAACGACCCTCGATGAAGAGTCTCCCGCGAAGCCAGAGGTTTCCGAAGCCGAATTTGTAGTAGTGGCTGCACTTGGTATCTGATGAGGGTTGGAAGCTAGCGTCGGAGCAAGGGTCTGGCGCGCCATTGCCTGCTTGCCTACTGCACCTGGAGGGTAATAGTCCCGAGTGGCTGCACTAGGGGACGCATTTTTTGATGTAGAAGTGACGAAGGAAGACTGTTGAGTTGGTGAGCTGGAATTGGGATGTTGATCTTCAGAGACCACAAACGGTTGGACTTCGTGGGTTTGAAACACAACTAGAGGACCTTGTTGTCTCCGTCTTCGGTACCAGAAGATGCCGAGGACCGATAGAAGGACGAGAGCGATTGCGCCAAGAACGCCGCCGACAATAGCACCAACAGGAGTGGTGCTTTTGGAATGGCCCGGCGAGTTGACACCAGTTGAGGTTGAGGTTGCTGCCCCTGCAGTGATCCAGAAAAGTGAGATATCGACAATGTGGAAGCGGAACTCGACCCACCAGAGCTAGCGGAGGATACCGTTCCCAAATATGCTGTGCTCCCACCCTCAATCATGAGATAGTTAAGTGTGAGCGGCGACACGTTCCCTCCTTGGGTGAGATTGACGGTCAGGTTATGGGACCCCGCAGATAAACTTGGGATCTCAAAAAGTTTTCGATTGTATTGTGTAGAGGAATCGGCTTTTTGAAGACCTGGTACTGAAAACGTGACAGGGGATCCATTGTCTACCGAGTACGTTGCTGTTGTTTCTTGGTGGGACAATTCTGTTGGTGTCGTGCCGTACCAGGAGAGACCAGTACCTTCAGAACCGTTGGTTCAGCAAACAAAAGCGTAATTCCATGGAATTTCACAAACCGACGAAAGGGAAAAAAACGGTCGCACCCGTTTTCTGCGTCATTTGAGATATAGTCCCCAAAATTTGCCAACTTGAATTGTATCGGAGATCAGGATCGAGCTTGTTGACAAGGATCCCCGCACCGTCGACCTGCCCGCTGGGCAAGAACTCAAACCTATCAAAAAAGAACGCCTGGGATCGACTGTTCACGTTGACAGTAATAGTATGCTGGCCGGGAGTGAGGGTGTACCAGTTACACAGTTGCCAGTTGTTTTCAATGTAGGGAAATATGGTCGCATTTCCAACGCCTATGCTCACTCCATCGATGAAGCACTCCCATACGGGATCGAGCACTCCAGACGAGTTCTTGATATTGTTTGTGCCCATAATTCTTCCTTGCGCGCCTACAGGACGTGCCTTGGAATTTAGAACCTTTTCAACGAAGAAAACAGTGGAAACGAACCATTGAATACATAGGAAAAGTTGGCGACGCCAGTGGCGCCATGCAAGCCTTTGTAGGTTGCGCCAAAATTCCCCTGGGTGTCGTATTTCGTCCCATCATTTGTTGTCCAGTTCCCTGTATATTCGATGCCTTTGTCGGCGTGGCCCACTACGATCCAACCGGCGGTCGGACATTAGTAAATGATCAACACCGTAGAGGAAATGATTCGGAGGAGAAGAGGGAATTCGACGGTAGGGGGACTCTGGGGGGACTGGTCGCGGGAGACGGTGAGGAAGAAAGCCATGAGAACAGACCCAACCGGTCAGGGTTGCAAATTCTTGGCAAACTCCATCGAACAAGGGCGGCGCCGCAGAACAGCTCAGAACACTGAATCTGAGCTACGGCGAAGCTTGGCAGGTTCAGGCCGCCACCGCGTCAATCAGATTCACACATTGGCGAAAGTCAGCCTTTCGACAACCCCAAACGCTCGTAATAGTAGTAGAGGCAGACCTGCGTCAACAGAGTTTGAGCTGGATGAGAAAGTCGACAGAGTAGTGGGGGTTGATTGAAAGGTTGCAGAGCCATCGCAAAGATACAGGATCAGAACGTTTCGAAGCTAGCGTTCTGAGGTTGGCATACGTAGTTGCTTGAGAGTATGCTGTTGGGCGCTGTAGGCAGGATGCAGAAGCAACAACATAAACATGCGCTAGAATTAGCCTTGAATTCGAACGATCAGCGTGATAAAATAACATTGTGTTGTACTCAAATAACTGAAGAAAATCAAGTATATGTACGCAAGAAAGAAAGGGGGTATAAACAGATTCAGGGCTGTTAACCAAAAAAACAAAGGACGTCGTCTGTGTATCGCGGCGCTCAACGCCGTCCGTCGAGCTCGCGCAACGGGTTAAAAAAAAGTGACGTACGCACAGCGCAGAGACCGACGCAAGTGATTTGCACAAGCAAGGTCAAGGTCGGGGAATCGATAACGTCCCAGCCGCTATGCCTGTCAAGAGAGCAAGAAGAAGTCGAAGGGAAAAGGTTAAGTTAGAAAATAACGATTATTTATCAGCATCGAACCACCAAGAACGAAGGAAAAAGAAAGAAAAAGGGTAATCAACTCGTACACAAAAAAGAAACTGGTGGGTAGGAGTGGAGTCAAGCTCATCAAATCCCCCCATACGCATCCTCGGCATCATACATAGAATACACCGTGTTCGAGCGCTTCAAGCCGCTTCCATTGATTTTTTGTTTTTCCTGCTTCACAATTGGGGGCGAGGCAACACGCTCCTGATCAAAGCCCTTCTCCTGCGTAGGCGTAGCAACTCCAAAGCTCGACGCCAACGGACTGGGAGTGGCAGGGAACCGAGGCATGAACCCAGGACTGGGGAACCCGCTCCCCAGAGGACTCAGTCCCAGATTCGAGGTATCCCCGTGACCGTGATGTGGTGGAGGGGCAAACTCGTACGCGCTGACGGAGACGCGGGACTCGACGAGGATTTCGGGGAGCATGGGTGGGGTCGAGTCGATCCGGTATCGTGAGGAGATGGTGTGGACTGGAGAGGGGGGTACTGGGAATTCGAGGTCCGCAGGGAAGTCGACCTCTTGGGAGAGGTCAGACTCCGCAGCGGATATAGGTCTCGTTTCGCCTTGCTCATGTTGCTGTTGTTGTGGTTCTGACCGTTGTTGTTGTTCTAATTGTTGTTGGTTATAAGATGTGTTCGAGACGCGGAAGGTAGGGGTGCTAGGTGTTGAGTTTGGGTCTGCGAACGGGGATTGGTGTTCGTTGTCTTCCTTAGGAGGAGGGAGTGGAGGCAAGTCGCGATTCACTGCCGCTGCAGCTAAACCAAACTGTGACTGGGCTGCTTCGGGTGTAGTCAAGCCATTGGGAACTTCCGTCTTCAATCGTCTGGAGATCTCCGCATATTGGGCTGCTTGATAGGGAGAGACACTAGATCGACTGAGATCTACGTAGTCGTCGTTGTCTGGGATGGTACCCTCGCTGACGGGTACAGGTGGCGCGTTCTCTTGATGGGGATGGGGATCAGTCAAGGACGATTGGCGCGTAAGCACGGGATAGGTCGCAGTACTCCCAGATGATAACTGCCTCGTCAAAGAACCTTGGTCACTATACACCTGCTGCTCATATTGCCCTGGCCCTGCGATAGGTGAAGGAATAGGGCCAAACTGTGCCTTTGTGGGGGTTGCGAACGGGTTTGGCAGAGGCTTGGGAGGGGCGTTATAATTCACAACTTGACCAGGGGCGAACGATGCATATTGGGTATTAGGATTATAACTGGGGTACTCTTCTCCTGCGTAAGCATAGGCCCCAGCCACAGGAGCTTGAGTGGGATATTGAGCCCCAAACGTCGAAGCAGGGGAAGTCATATGGCGTTCAATCATACTGGGAGGACGAGGATTGTATCCACGCGCAATGGTATCCTCGTGAGTAGGAGGATCCGACATCAACATAGCAGAGCGGCGGAACTCCTTTGCGTCAAACGCATTCTCCTCGGCTTGCCGTTTCCGTTGACGACGCTACCACAAAAAAAAATTCAGTAATTGATTACTGGATCATCAAAAAACTCACAATGAAGAGGATTGCAAAGATGATGCCAGCAATAGCCAAAATGGCAGCTATGATCCCACCAGCTATCGCCCCACTGCTCGAGGCGCCAGTTTGTGCGACCGCAGCAGCTGATGAGGTGACGGCAGCTTCCGCGGTGGTACGTGTGACTGACGTAGTCACCGGAGGTGTGTATGGTGCCGTCTTCACTGGCTTTGATTTTGTCTACGGAATATTAGAGGTCAGATGCCTTCGGTTGTAATCAATCAAGCTTAACATACTGTGGTCGGAGTAGTAGAGGTCGACGACGAAGTGGTTGTCGTGACAGTGGTAGTGGAAGTAGATGTCCCGCTGGATGATGTGGGAGTAGACGATGTAGAAGTCGTGGTGGAGGTGGTGGTGGGGCTCGTAGCGGTCTGGGTGTTCGTTCCAATACCCGGGACTAAAAAGCGAAACAGCCAGTCAGTTCAGAGTTCACGCAAACAATGCAATCAAACAATGTCATCCTCCCCATAGAAAAACCTCTGATTACTCACATACAACATCCGTCGCCGCCGTCCCAAAAATATCAGAAAATGACGGAGGCTGCCTCGTTAGCCATTCTTTTGGAGGCTTTCTACGCTCCAACGCCGGATTTGAAGTGTCCGGGAACTTTGACTGGTATCTCTTTTTGATCAGGTTCGCCGCGCGCCGGTGAATTTGCGCGGCCGTCATATGTTGGGTTTACACGTAATGAACGAGGAAAAAAGAGTGTGGGTGCCAGGGATGGCAAAGAAGAAAGGAGAGAGAAGGAGGGAGAGAGAGGCAAGAAAAAGTAAGCTCAATACAAGAAACAGGCGGCAGGCCTAGGTGGGAGAAAGAGGGTTACACAGGGTCACAATTCGTCACATCCGTTGCTATCACCAAGGCCAGGGTCCAGATTCACAAGTTCCCCTGAAACGACGACTTAAGCCTTCCATGATATCTCAGTCTTGCTGCTCATTCTCGCGCGAAATCGTTAGCCATTTGGATAGTCGAATGTTATACCGGATGAATGCCTAATCTCCCGATGATCCACTGTCAACTGTGAGCCAACTTTCAGCGCGTGAGGACATCATTGCATGCCGTTGGGATGAAGCATCGGCAGTCGTGATGTTTAGTTATTATTATAGCGTCTGGTTCACCGTGAGTCTTTCATGCGCTTGCACTTGAAATTTCACCATAGAAGAACGTTCATCACAGAAATATATCGCACACCGTACAACCAAGGTACGCAGCTAACCCTATGCAAACCCTTCTCATAAAATGTTCATACTTACAGGAGCTGTACTGCTAATATCGACCTACTCCTACCGGGACTCCGCTTTGAACATCCACTTGTAGGGCGCAGTGCTCGCAGGAGTAAGCTTCGGTGCAGCAACTCCATCCCTGCCGCTGATGGCCACAGCGGTCGGAGCTGACGTAGGCGATGAGCTTGCATTGATCGTTGAACTAGAAGACGCAGCAGCATTGGAAGAAGCGATGCTGGATGCAACAGCCGCAGCATCAATAGAGGAGGAAGCCACGGTGGTGCTTGAAGCCGACGTTGTTGACTGGGTTGTCGAGGCCGATGATGAGTCACTGGGACTGATGACTTCGACCTTGAGCGCACCTGCAGATGTTGACGATGGAGAGGCACCGTCTGTCGTCGACGAACCGCTGGCAGCGCTTGCTGTGAGAGTTCCAGAAGATAATGTTGAAGACACTGGCTCATCGGTGGCACTCGTGACGTCGGCCGCGGAGAGAGACTGGGTCGAGGCAGATTCAGACGCTGTGTTTGTCACCGTGACTGTTGTAGTCGTCATTGTTCCATTCGAAGCAGGGTCCTGGGTATCCTCGACCATCACATCGTCTGGGACAAACTTGAGTATCACGTTCTGAGATCCGGTCAACGCGGCATCTATCCTGCCAAAAGTTCCGGGAGTAGAGCTTGCGGTAGCCGCGGAGGTTGTGCCGTTCGAGGGAGCAGTGCTGTTGGACGACGTCGTTCCATTGGAGGCGGCCGTACTGTTCCAGGAGTTATCATCGTTTGAAGGCGCAGACGGGGATGTCGCATTGTTTGGTCCTTCGTCTTCCAGGAGCGTCATTGGGCGGATAGCGCCAGTACGCTCATTATAAGCGAAAACTTGACTTCTGTGAGCGTCAGCCGTGGTTGTGTTGTCGCAAGGTGTCATCTTCATGGGCTCGGCCTGTGCTGGATTCGGGTCATAGGTCGCGCAGTGTGGGACAGGAGTGCTCGAAGAGTTCGAAGAGATCATCGTCTGGAGGAAGACTGCTACGTCGGAATCCTCACTGTTCTGCGAAGATGGAATCGAAGCCTTGGCCAGAGACAAAGCCGTCCGCTGCGTATCCGATGCATTCAATACATACTCATCGGTTGAAGTATCCATATATAGGGCCGCAATCTCGCGATCGCTCGAGTTATAAACGGGACTCTGCAATGTGCAATGTGTTATGATCAACCCTCGAACCCAAATCAGTCGACGATTACGCACCATGATGAGGACTGTTCCTGGCACCGGCGCGGCTTGATCGTCTCTCCTGACCTTGAAGGTCGCCTGAGGCCCTATATGCTGATCGTCAAGAACGGCAATCGACCGCCGCCCGTGTACGTGTGCATTGCTGCCTTTGACGATGATCTTTTCGCCGTGCGGCCAACTGTGATCGTGGTCTTCGACGTGTATATGCGCGTCCTTCCCTTTGACGATGACTTTTTCGAGCTCTCTGCCGTAGTTTGAGTGGCGATCTGGCCCGACCCAGATGCCGTGCTTGCTGTCAATAATGATCTTCCCGTATCCACGGTGACGTCTTGCTTCGACCACTACGAAGTCGCGCTGTTGGATGTAAATAAGAAATCGACAAACAGAACCGGAATATATGCTCTCTAAAACGAAAAGAAACACAATTTATAAGTCGCCAACGGGAGATCGAAAAAAGAGTGACGTACCACCTTGAACCTCCCACCATCAGACTTGTGCTTCTCGCCCGCGGAAGCGCTAGTCTTCTTGGCTCCTTTCTTAGCTGCGGCTGACTTGGACTTCCTCAACGTGGCGGCAGGCAAGGGAACGGTTGGCTGTTTCTGGTGATGAACAGACGTCGTGGCTTCCTTTGCTTCAGAATGGCGGGGATTAACGGCGATGGCGACGGTGGACACGGGGGACAGAGTGACAGCAGCGAGACTGCAGAAGGTTGCGAGAATGGCAAAACGAGGATTGAGTGCGAGCATGTTTATATCAAGGGGTTTGAATGTTAAAAGGGGGGTATGAATCAATGCTAAATGAAAGGCGAGTCCGGTCGCGAGGAGGGTTCAAAGAAAGTTGCAGACGAGGTGTTGACAATGAATAAAAGTTGCAAAATGATCACCAGGATCGGGGGATGATGAAAGTGGGAAGAAAGAAAGAATTGGGGGGAAGAAACAACGGGCGGGGTACTTATACCTGCTGGATGTTTTGACAGCTTTGTTTTTCGACGATCTGGAAAGAGAGTCAGCCTTCGCTATAATGATCTAAATTAGTTGCAGGTGACACGTGACCGCGTTTTGCATTGGACACGCGTGCCATCTTCGCCTTGACGTCTTCATGTTTTGTTGCAAATTCATACAGTACAATACAACTATCTCTTCCTAAAAAATTGCTCTTCCAATGTTTTCTCATCCGGGCCCTCCCTCATCTTCACCCCCTCAAGCCCCTTACCAGTCTTTACAAAATCCAGCACAGCTCCGACAGGTGTAACATAGGTAAGATCGAACTCGCACTTCCTATCACCCGCACCGCACGCCACAATCCCGCCAACCCTTCCTACAGCATCAACAACCACCGCCCCCGAATCACCCACCTTCCCAAACGTAGTACGCAGGTGATCATAGCTATTATTCCGTAACTTCGCCTTCGGTATAGGCAGAATAGGCCACTGCTTGGAAACCCGCCCTTTATCATCACGGGTGTAGGAAAAGATGCTATTCGCGTGACCGATCTTGAACCCCGAGGTGGCACCTCGCATAAGGACGGCGATGCATGGATTGCCGTCTTCATCGTAATCAACAGGATTGCGCATCTCTTCGTCCGGAACGATCCCCCTTAAACCCAACTGGCGGGAGAACAGGATGGAAAATGGGTGCACGTTCTTGGGGTTGCGCGGCATCATCAACCTAAGATCAATACGGCTGTGCTCGCCCCCCAAGTCTATCATATTTCCCGGGAAACTAGCTGGGTCCACCTTGTCCGGATCGACAGCAATAACAGCAACGTCTCGGGCATACCCCGAAGTAGGATCCACGTCCATAGGCGGAGAGTAGATCACATGCCCCAAGACACGATTGTCTTCACTGATCGCCCAATGCTGCAAGACCTCCACACGATAGTCCGTCAACAGGTCTGCCGCCTTCTCCGCTTGTTCCCCCTCCTTCTGCGTGGCCTTCCGTCTTTCCTCCGCCCGCTCACCGGTTTCGTTCAGCATACTCGCAAGATCTCTTTTAGAGTAGTCGACGCTCCTATCTCTCAGCCAGATCGCCTGCTCAACAGCTGCAACGTGTTTCTTGAACGACGCGTCGTTGAGCACCAAAACATCGCACTGCTTCCTTTCCTCCGGATCCTCCTTGTGCTCGAAGCCTTCGTCGTCATCTAGATCAGGGAGAACAACATGCCGCGCAGTCACGAGCAAGAGCCTCCCCCCATCGCCCTCGCCCTTCTCGTTGAGGAAAAAACCTGCAGTTCCCTCCACCTCCTGCGTATCCCTCCCACAAATTTGTATCCCAAGCGTATAAGCAAGCGGCTCCATAACCTCCAACCTCTTCTCATTATCCTCCCGACATGACGCAGGCTCAAACAACCTCGGCCTAGCATCGGCCGCCTTCACAACGCTCGACGTCCGTATCTCAACATCCACATCCTCAATCCCATAATCATCCACCAAAACCCTCTGACACCTCAACGCAACATCTACACCCCTCTCATACGACAACGACTCAGGAACAACACCAATCCACAAAACAACGCTACTCCTCAGGTCCTTCCATCTCTCGACAGCCGCTATCCGAACGACGTCCGTGCTCGTCCAATCTACCTGTTTTTCATCAAGCAGAGCGTGGATCTTGGAAGCTAGCCCGTCCTCCCAGACATCCTGGATCTTGTGCTCGCCTACGATGCGGATCTCCTTGGTTTCAGGGTAATCTGGGTAGCCTGCGTCAAAGCTTGGGAGGAGTGCAAACAGAACGCTGCCGGTGCGTGCGATTAATTTTGGGCGGGAGGGCAGGCCATAATACCACACTTTGGCTTCCGTCTCGGAGACGGGAGGGAGGTTGGGGGAGGTCAAGAGCAGCGAGTGAGGTCCTGTGGTGTTAGACATGGCTGCTAAACAGAGAATGGGCAATAATTTACGTTTGTCTCCTTTCCGCGACAATAACTCCCTTTGAGTCCTTTGACTGTCTAACCTTGGTCTAACCAGTCTCTCCAAAGATCTCTGTGGAATGTCCATACGTGGTATATTCAATCATTGTATCAATTCCTGACATCTCATCTCTGTCCTTTGAGAACGCGATAAAGGCGGGATGGCGGCGCGGCTACCACTTGTTGAAATAACGGATCGGACATTTATTTTAGTCTTTACTGATTCACAGCACGATGTGGTTTCCAAACAGTATATACGTCGCTACTCAACTCAGCGTTGTTCTTGACCCACGCGCGCCATCACCACCGCTTTTCCTGTTCCTCCTTCGTCTTGCAGTGGCCCGAGTAAGGTAGGCGGGAACTATATGGCAGGATTTGAATTCGTGATTGATCCAATCGCTTCTCAAGACTATTTTGGGACCACTACCATTAGGTAATCTCCACTCTCCAGAACCTGACGACGCTTGAAATATAGCACAGATGTGATACAAAAATGCAAGTAGAGTGGATCACAAGAAATAACATGGAAAGGATTGTAAAAAGAGTGGAATTAGAGGGCGACAGTCTTTGAAAACGAGGGACAGCGCCCTCAGTCGACGAGTCAAACACGTACACACAAAGCCTCGGCGCTACGACAGCGCTTGCAGCGTTGGCGTAGGTTCCGCACGTAGATACAAGGTAGAGATATATGGCTGATTAGTTTCCTTCAACTTCGACATTCTTGGATGTATAGAATTTTCCAGATCCTTCTCAGAAAATAAAAACCAAAATAGAGCATATTTGTGACTCCTGGTCAACTGCCAGTGAATGGGCAAGTGAATGGGAGTACAAGATTCGGTCCGCTGGAGATCAGAAAAATCGGCTGAACTCGCATGGTCGAGGGCCTTATATTATTATATCCGACACAGAACAGTACCAGAATATATGTATTTATGATATTTAGTAGGCTTTGGTCTTTGGAGGCTGGCACCCTGTAAATAAAAACAATGCTTCTATATTGACGTTTTTTTTTCTGGATTTTTATGTTCCAAGCTGTCTGCCATTGGTAGCATCCACCTTGCGTCCACCGTAAAAAAAAAGACTACTGAAGAAATCTTCATTGACTTGTTTTTATGCTAAGTCGTTGCTTTTGTCGCGGAGCATAGCCTTCGGATTCTATTACCAAACATGATAAAATTTAAAGGAGCATACATAGTTTCCATAGCATATTAGCGTGTAAGTATGACAATGTTGAGTTTGTGCATCGTGTCGCAACTCTCATATGAGACTTGCAAGTCAATGACTGTCCAATTAAGTATTATCATTATTAGTTTGGAGGTTCACCTGCAAGTTTACTTATCCATACTACTAAAAACCATTTTTACTGTCTTTGAACAGCCTTGGTGGTTGAAATATTATCGAATCCTGAGCAAGAGAAATAAGATTCGGCAGATCCCAGCAGCGGAAATTGAATTCTCATTGGTGAAATGCGTGCGTCGGAAATCAAAATTCTGCCATATACTTCCCGCCAACGCTACCCGAGGGATCTTTCAGTCACTGTATTTTCAATAGACACCTCTCATCTATGTGCTTTGCTTATCTTCAAGTTCAGTCTGTGCCGGGGCGACCACTTGGTATCCACTCCGCAACATTTGACCCAAAACGGACTTGTGGGAGCGCTTCCGGCAACCCATCAATTGAACTTGGTTGACTTTTACCCAGCACTGTCTGCGTTTCCCTTTTCCCTTCGCATCCCCTCCAAATCCCCTCAGACGACCCAACTTAGCAGCTTATCAACATGGCCAACAAGGTGAAAAGCGAAGCCTCGCTGGCAAGAAAAGTAAGGCGACTTTGGTCAACCTAAAGACCAGTCAAGAAAGCAAAGCCAAGGCTCTCGCATCTTCAACTGTGGGCAAGTGATTAATATTTCTGTTTTAAATAAACTGGTTAATCCTATCTATCCAGAGCACTCAAATGGCTCAAACGTCGATGATGTCGATGATGCCGTCCCCCCAACCCAAGGTGCTGTTTCTCGTATTATATCATCTTTTACTCTTTCATTGATAACGGTCCCTTAATAGTCCCACCTAGCTAACGGTCGCCCTGTCCATTCAACTGCTGGCGAGACGCGACGGGAAAGAAGAAATCAAGCCAAGCTTGTCGTCGAGGCTGGTGTCGGCTTTACTACTCAGCCGCGCGATCGTTTACGTCTGCCACGTAGCTGAAGTCACTCGACATTTCTTGTTTGTCCATGATTCCATTGGTGGAGGTCAGCCCAAGTCACGACTTTCAGAAGAACTCCTATTTGCGTCTTTCACATCCTAGCACTCTCCTACCATGCCTTTCCACTTAATCCTCGCAAAAGATGGTCGTTACGAAGAAGACGTCACACTTTCGGGGCGATACATGCCCATTGTAATGCTCACACAGACAGTTCGCGAGGCCCTTTGCCAACATGCAGGTCTCAGGCAACCTTTTCTCAACCTCCTCCATCACATATAGAAGAACCCGAACGCCAAAGCAAAGCTCGAAGAGGCTCGGTGCCGACGTCCCGACGACGCTGATATCCGTTACTTCTTCAGGCATCGCTTCCCAAATGTACGATTGGTAGGGGGTGCGAGCCATACGAATGTCGGCGATCACGCTGCCTGTGACGACAATGTACAAATTGCGTATCGACTCGCACGATGCCTAACGCTGTCAGCGGTGAGGAGTGCTTCTTCTTACAATTTAGTGTTCGTTACTAATTCTTCATGCAGAAAGCTAAATCGTACAACAAACAAATTGACCCTTCACAGATCATCGCCTCCTATATCGCCGTCCTTTTGCACGAGCTCGCCCACTGCCTTTTGGTCTGGTGGTCACGAGGGGACTGCCGAACGCCTGATTTTGGTCCACTCCTAAGAGAATCAGGAGAGTTTGTCGAGGAGGCTTTTTTGGGTGGGGTCTTAGAAGGCTGGTGAGCCAAACATCGAGCAGGGCACTTCAAGTGTTTGAGGAAACTGGTCATCGAAACACGGTCTGGCTTTTTTCTGGAACTGGGTAAGTCAATCCAATATCTGATTCGTTGGCTTTGGTTCAGTGGTCTTTAGATGAATACTCCGCAACCGCTTTCTATCAGCGCTTCAACACGTCGCCTACCTTCATTCCACTTATTCATGCAATACCTATGAGAACGGCTCTCCTACCGAACCCCGCAAGGACGAGTCGAACCAAGATCAATCGTCTTATTGTTGATACAAGCCATATAGGGCGCGAGATAGTGCGATGTCCCATTGGCGGAAACGACACAATTTTATTGGTTTGAAGGTACCTTCGAGTAGATTCCCTCTGCTTTATTTATCTTTTTCCATTATGAAGAACATCATGCTACATGTAGTAAACTCCTTAAGTAGCTCAAGCTATACAGGGTTTTCGGGGTGAAAATACTGCACATAATTGGACATACAGTAGGGGTGTGCCCCTGGCAAGCTGTGATCTGCACTGGAGGCACGGCTTCAACCGTGTAGAAAAAAAGTGGAGGAAGGAGAGTCAGAAAGCAAGAGTAGGTCTACGAATAACCACTGCACCAAACCAACACCAAACGGGGCATTTATTTCGTCAAGCACATTATCCACCGACAACCCATCATGCATCATCTTTCCTTTTTTCAAGGAAAGTGAGAAGGGAGGGAGAGCTGCGCCATTCCATTCGTAACTTTGGATATCATTATATCAAAATGCTCATCTCAAATCTCCTCATCCTCCAAATCAAGTTCCTCAACAGGATAATCCCCAACCTTGACCTTCTCCGGACGCACAAAAGCACCGTAATTCGGTCGACAAGTGAAATAACGTTCTCCTTGTACCCTTCAAGCCCACCTCAAATTAGCCTTGCAAAAAAAGAAAAGAGAAAAGAACAACTCACGACCCATCATTCTTCCCCATAGGCTCATCATATTCAACACCCACCCAAACACCCTTCCCATCACCAAACTTGGTAGGACCCACGAAACGCACAGCACCGCGTTTATGTAGGCCTTCCTCGTGTGACTCGACTTCGCACCGCGAGTTGAGGGGAATGTCAACGGTGGTTTGCGGGTCAGAGGGAGTAGGTGGTGGGGGCGCGAACCGGCCGACTTTGTGCAGCTGTTTATACGCCAGAACCGTGTCTGTTTTCGTTTCGAGATTCGAGAGTGTGAATGAGTGAATGACTAGAACTGGGGAGGAGGAGACGGGGTTACCTGATCGTTTCGCATACTCCGCCTCGCTCATCTCAAATTTCTCAACTTGCGACACGTCCGATAGTTGACCCGTTAACGACGATGAGGGGTTCGTGTCTTCTACCTTCAAAATATATACTTCATTTCGTATCCGATGAGAAAGAAAGATGATTGCCGAACCTTGATAACCTGCCAATCTCTCAACCAATAAAACCCAAGCTGCTTCGAGTCATCCGAGAGCTGAGCGACGGGCGTAGAGTCCGCTTCGGAGTTGAAGAGGGTGAGGCGTTGGTTGGCGGCTGGTATACCTGTTATTGGCTCGAGTTTGATCTATGTAATACGAATATGAAGAATCTGGTAAACTTGGGGAACAAGGATGAGTGAGGGATGGGATAACCTTGAGTTGCTCAACCGTTATATGTGGGTCTATACGTCGCTCTGAATGCGTATCCGGAGAAGTCACCCAGATGTTGAGCACCATGATGACGAGAGGGAGATCTAAATTAGATTACGATGCTCCAACGAAAAAAGAACATCTATGTAATCTAATCTTAATGTACCAAGAATTTATCGTACGTACTATAACGCTTCCAATAGTCACGGATTGCAAGATATTTAGCAGGGAAGGGCCTAGTGTAGCCCAATAAAAAATAAAAAAAACCCCATCATCAATTTCGAAATCGAAATCAACCATCAGCCTCGAAAGAAATCCATCATCACCCAGAGAACAAATGACGAGCTTAATCTATAATGTTCAGCTCCCTCAAACGCGCCTTTGCGAACGTGTCTTTATATGTGTTCCAGATTCTACCATCACTCTCATCAGTTTCACCCAGGGAGAGGAGGGGGAAGGATGGAAACGAACCGAGTTAATTCGTCTATATATCGTTGCTGCACCTTCGTCAGTTGTTCCAGCGTCGGCTTTTCGCACCGTTCTACACGAATGGGTTTACCAACTGACACGCAGAGCGTCAGCCTAAGCACCTCAATCAATTGAGAGAAACACAAGAACTCACTGACAGCGACGATCTGTCGTCGGTAGGGCATCAATCCCACGTTATCTACTCGACATAAGTGGTGTGGAGGGAAAAGAGGCAGAAGGAGACAAACAATTCAACAACCCCCTCCCATGAAACAGCGGTAAAGTAAACCCAAAAATGGACTGAAACTTGCGCTGGAACGCATATATCATGGTCCCCCGCTGATTCGGCATTTGTTGGTATATCTGTTATCCATACCATTCAGCCTGGCAACAACGAAAAAAGACGAAACGAAACAAACATCATTTTCACCAAACGAAAACACAGGGACCAAATCGGCGCTATCACAAAAGAACATGAAATTCCAACTCCAATCAAAAGAAGTGGAGGGAAATTACCCATGTTGAATCGCAAGCTTGATGAACCCCAATCTACCGACGTATCACCAATCATCATCCACACATCCAAAGTAACAGGAACCCAACTCACCTCCGTCTCAGCGTCAAATCCGCCGTCCCCGGATGCGCGCTCAAACTCTCCGCAGCACCCCCAACAACAATCGTGATCGCCGATCCCGGACCCGCCTTGAGGATGTTAGAGCACGACTGCTTGCTGACGCTGCATACCCCCAATGCCATCAATATATCCCTGTAAAACGGCATCTGAAAGTTCGAGGCGAGTGTCAGGAGGTGGGGCTTGATTCCTGGAAAGGCAGCTGAGAACCCGGTGGCTTCAATGTGAATGGGTTAGTATAAGGAATTTGGTGTAGTGTAAGGATACACAGAACCGACCTTCAGTCGCGAATGTCGCCAAGGCGCCCCTATGTGAGATAAGTAAGCCGTGATTATATGCGCGAATTGGCCAAGCGAGGCACATACATCCCAATGATGCCTAGCTTGAAGGGTCTCATTAGGCATGTTCGTGCGGAGTGGGTGTTACATACCGTGAGGATGATACCCAAACACATACGGACGATCTGGCGGCAAATCCGCTTCCTGCACGCATGTATCGACATTACTCCTTCATTCCATTCTCGTGAGTCCACATACCTTTAGAAACCTAAAACACAAGTGCATATAAGACACCATCACAAAGCAAAAGCACGGGGGAACATACGAAGCAGGATAATAATCCGCAAAATACTTCCAAAAGCTCAAAGACCGGAACCACTGACTCGTCCGTCCCCCATTCTCAGGACTCTTGTCAATACATCGCACCCAGAAGAGATACACAGCCAAGAACGGCCATAACGGGGGGATGGAGCTAAAAGCATGTACGCCAAATCAAACCAACGAAGAAGAAGAAGCAAAAAAGAGAGGGAGAAACATACCAAACGTACAAAAACGCAACAGTAGTGATAACAATCGACACCGACCAAACCGCCACAGCCAACATCTGCAACCTCCGCTTCCTCGGGATCTTTGCCGGTACGAAACTAAACAAAGTCAGCGAGCGGTCCCCAACACGCCACTTTCACCAAGAGAAAAGAGAGAGAACATACTTTACATTGGCATGGAGAGTAGCAACGGGATTAGGGACGTTCAACGGGGTAGTAGCAAGCTTAGACAAGCGATCTCTAAGCGTCGAAGCCGATAGCGTTCTCGTGAGTTTTTCCTTTGGCCTCGTCGGCTGCTTTCCATCATTCAAGTTGTTGCCGCCGGGCACTTGCAGGCTCACGCCGTTGCCGTTGCCGTTCGCCATAAGGAAAGAGAGAAGAAAAGAAGGGAGGGGGAGGGAGGAAATCAGCGAACCACGACCGATGGTGGTGGGGGTTATAAACTCAGAGATGGAATCGCGAGAAGAGTGGAGTGGAAAAGAAACATTGGTATTGCGACACAACATGGTAAAACATGACGCGTCTGAAATGAAGCCCCTGACAAGAACACACATCTGAAATCTTATTACAATCAAGAATGTCATATTCTGTCAATCAATTGTCTATTCTTTTGTTGCTACATGAAAAATGAAAATTATAGAAGGGGCATCATGAACACCAAAAAACAAAAGTGGCTCTTCAAGCATAGAGGTCGTCGTCGGCATTGTCTTCAGCAAACCCGGCATTACCAGAAGCTTGTACGCCGGCAGGAGCCGTCCCATCAGATTCCGGGAACTTGAAGTTATTTCCAAACCCGCGAGACTGCTGCAGATTCTATAGAAAGAAAAAAAACATATCAGCCTCTTCTTTCGTTGGGGCAACCGGTGAAAAGACAGCATACCTGTGAGAACATCTCGTAACGCCTGATATCCTGATCAGACACCGATCGACGAGCATACTTCATGGCTTCCTCAAAATGTTCTCTGTAAGACGGGGGTTCAAAATAACAATGATCAGGAACCCCATCCATGCCTATCACCGAGAATGAGAACGAACCTTGTAATCTGAGGCACAGGGTCCTCCTCTTCCTCATCATCCTCCATCTTGGCATCACCCGAAGCCTCCTCACGTTCCTTCTTCTCCCTCAAAGCCCTAATATCCGCATCAATACTCTCCCTAATGGCCAGCTTGGCCGCCCGCTGGCAAATCTCCGTCAAGTCAGCACCAGAGAACCCATGCGTGTTCTTCGCCAAGAAGGAAAGGTCAACCTCAGGGGCAACAGGGGACTTCTTGAGCGCAGCCTTGAGAATCGACAATCGCGAAGGCTCATCAGGGAGAGGAATGTAAATCAGCTGGTCAAGTCGACCAGGACGGAGGAGCGCAGAATCGATTTGGTCAGGTCTGTTCGTAGCACCGATTATGAACACGTTCTTCTTGGTGTTCATGCCGTCCATCTCCGTCAATATTTGGTTGAGAACACGATCACCAGCTCCTCCACCATCACCGGAAGCACCTCCTCCGCCACGAGCTTTGGCAATGGAGTCCAACTCATCGAAGAACATGACGCAGGGTGCGGCGGCACGAGCTTTGTCAAAGACATCACGAACATTGGCTTCGGATTCACCAAACCACATCGTGAGCAGTTCAGGACCCTAACATATTCAATGAGCTATTATGGTTCACCTTTCCCAACTTGAGCACCAACCTTGATACTGATAAAGTTGGCATTGCACTCATTGGCAATCGCCTTCGCAAGCAGGGTCTTACCCGTTCCAGGAGGACCATAGAACAAGACACCCTTCGACGGGGACATACCATACTTGAGGAACTTCTCGGGGTGGTCCACGGGGTACTGCACAGTCTCCTGCAACTCCTGCTTGACCTTTTCCAGCCCACCGACATCGTCCCAAGTAACAGTCGGTACCTCCACCACAGTCTCGCGAAGAGCCGAGGGGTTGGAGGTTCCAAGGGCAAAGCGGAAGTTATCCATGGTGACACCAAGCGAATCGAGCACCTCAGCATCGATGGTGTCCTCGTCCAGGTCGATCAAATCCATCTTCTCTCGGATCTGTTGCATGGCAGCCTCTGAGCAGAGAGAGGCCACATCAGAACCGACGTAGCCGTGTGTGTCAGCAGCGATCTAGTCGAGATGCATTTTTTAGTAGGTGACATTAACAACATATGTCTGATACACACCTGTTCGAGGTCGACATCTTCTGCAAGTTTCATGTTCTTCGTGTGGATGCGGAGGATCTCAAGACGACCAGTGGGATCAGGAATACCAATGTCAACCTCACGATCGAAACGACCAAAACGTCTGAGGGCGGGGTCGATGGAATTGGGTCTGTTGGTGGCAGCCATAACAACAACGTTGGAGCGCGCTTTGAGGCCGTCCATGAGGGTGAGCAGTTGAGAAACAACACGACGTTCGACTTCTCCATTTGTCTTCGCGAATGAGCACCAATCTCATGCACAAGCACTCAAAAGACTCACCTTTTCACGTTTGGGCGCAATCGAATCAATCTCATCAATGAAAATGATAGCAGGCGAGTTCTTCTCTGCTTCCTCGAATGCTTTCCGCAGGTTGCTCTCACTCTCGCCTGCCATCTTACTCATGATCTCGGGGCCGTTGATCAGGAAGAAGAAAGCGCCCGTCTCATTGGCTACCGCACGGGCCATGAGGGTTTTACCAGTACCGGGGGGACCGAACATCAGGATACCGCGTGGGGGCTTGATACCGATGGATTTGAATAGTTGTGGATGGCGCAAAGGCAGCTCCACGAGTTCACGGATTTGAGCCATTTGTTTCCGGCATCCACCAATGTCGTCGTAGCCAACGTCAGCCAGATTTGACTCTTCGTCTTCTCTTTTCACTGGGTCACCCTCTGCAGAACAGTCAGGGGTTGCCATTCACTCATTGACGTACGAAAGCTTACCAGTGTGGATCACCGTTTCTTGAGAAACTATACAAAACTCGGAGGGGTCGGTTTCGATGACTTTGAATTCCACTGTTCGCATGCCTCCTCGGACGAGGAAAGTATCGCCCTTTCGCACTGGCCTGTAGGCTACAAAACAGTCATTTGAATACTCCGAGTCAAAAGATGAATGCATGTGCACATACCCTCCAAGAAGTAAGGCTTGAGGTACACATCAAAGATGTTGCCACTCAATCCCTCAATAGAGTCGTCGAATGGTAGAACGTGGATCCGTTTTCCGTATTTGATATCGAGACATTGGTGCACGTTGACAATATCGCCAAGCTTCACTCGCAAATTATTGCGAGCGACTTTGTTCATCTGAATACGCCCCTCCTCCACCTCATCAGAACTCAAACAGATGAGAACAGTGTCGCGCCTTTTCTTGCCACTGCATCACGATGTGAGAAAAAAACTCCAATTGCCAAAATTTTGCGTCACATACCGAACGATGATCGTGTCACCGCGGAAGAGTTGGAGTATTTCCATTGTAGCAGGATTGAGGGTCGCAACTGTCATCGATCGTCAGCTCTGCCTTCATCCCCTCCATCTGGGGCAACAAACCTGAATTGTCGTCTGCGGTCGCCTCATCAACGATGAGACGATTTGGGCTGAAAGACCGTCAGATGGCTCGTTCCCTGAGATTTTCAGAGACATACGATTTCTTTGGCCTAAGTATGGCTGTTGAGATATCATTTGGCCCTGGTTGGGGCGCTGCTCCACTAGGATCGGCCATGGTGTTGTAGTGGTGAGGAATATGGAGGGGGGAACCGAAGACGCGGGAGGTTATAAACAACGGAAGAAGGTGGACGCGCGTCCTTCAGTTGGCTGTTGAAACAGGAACAAACTCATTTACACACGTGGTTGTATTTGCTCGGTCCTTCGATCACCTTCCACAAAGTGAAAACAAGAGTTTGCTCCAAAAGCAATCAAGGGGATTGACTTGGAACCCAAAACCTTGTTCCATGAAAAAACCTGAACACGCAAGCAAATTTTGGAAGCGTGAAGGGAGATCCTTCAGTGTATTTCAATTACAGCATTTAAATACTGTTGGCTGTGAACTGATCATCGCCTTTAAAGATATCTACTTAGCGTAACTCCCCGTCAAGCGAAAACGTAGAGCTTATTCGATTAGGAGTTGCGTATCGTGCTGCGCAGTTGCAGTGATTTGAATGGAGTAAAGTTAGGAAGAAAAATGCATCGTGGTCGTTTAAAAATACATTGCATTGCGCAAGGAAAAATTATCGCGTATTGCTAGTTCGTAGATCTTTAGCTTCGTGCTGGGGCGTTTCCCGGTCGTAAAATATCCATTAAAAACATGTCGTGTATACTCCGTCGTAAGGTCCTTCAAAAACAATCAGAAATCAGAGAGAAGTGAAGAAAGGATAAAAAATACCGTTATGGTCGCCTGCGTTCCCAGCAAATATATTCGGAACGTAGCCTATTGTGCACTTCGAGTTCGTATTATCCTGACCTGGGCAGGACATCCAACCGTTCGAATTAGTGATGTGGACTTCTCCGTTTGTGTGCGCGTAGCCAAGAAAGCGGCCTTCAGAGTATTAGTATCTTTCATATTTGGCAGATAGTAGATGCTACCTGGTAGTATTGGTACGACATCATTCCTAAAATTCGTGCAACAAGATTGAGCACAGAAATTATCAATGACAACCTCCACTCACTTGTTGTCGATCCTGGTCAAATTTGCGCGTGGGTTGATGAAATCCACAAAGGCTTGATTTCCAACCTATTCATATCCGCACTGAGGTTTGCCCGGAGTTTTTGAAAAAATAGTAAACACAACTTACGCGTGAGCTTCCATAAGTGACCGCTTGAAGCGAAGTGCTTGACGGTAGATTCAAAGATAAGTACGCTGTGGAAACTAAAGCGATAGAACCTCCTGCAGGTAGACAGTGATTAACACCAGAGGGAGCAATAAATCATTTCGAGGCTTACCCAGTGAATGACCGACAACGGTGACCTTGGTAGTCGCATATTTCGACATCGCAGTCTTGACGGCTGCAAGAACTGCAGTTGCAGACCTTTCATTCCAAATTGTCAATAAGGTGGCCCAAATTTTGACGAAGTCGTGCGTACCTCTTCTGTGCATCACCGAACCCATCATGAGCTTTGATCGAAGAGCTGATGCCAGGGAACAATTTCGAGTCCAACGGTTTCAAAATGAATTTGGCGTCGGTAATCAGAGGGAAGCTTTATTAAGTATAGGTCAGCAATAGTAAACGTGCATAGAAGAAAAAGTTAAGATCACAATTTCGAAAAATCGCTTCCCTTTAAACAAGCGGACGTCAACAATAAGATGACCACAAGAAAATCGAAATACTCACCTGGTATGCGACGACTACAGACTATGCTCCCGTATATAGTCCGACTAGAGAAGGGATTATGAAGCAGACGTACCTTGAGATTAGGGTCATATCCCACAAACCAATATTGCGTCAGAGCTCCATCACCGCCTGAAGCTATTGGCTTGAATTCCGCGTTGGCACTGCAGGATGCTATTGAATAATAAGTAGACCACAATAATAGATGTCAAAGATGTCACCCACCGCCGCAATTCCAAGCTATAGTTGATGCAGGTGGACAATGGGCAGCAGCAGCATAATAGGTGTAGGGCTTGTACGAGGCAATGTCAGCGGTAGACAGCGCAGAGACCGCTGCCTGGCGCCCTTCCAATATAGGTACCGCGATGGCTACGCTCGCGAAAAGTAAAAATAGCGGGATTGAAGCAAAGAACATCGCGTGAACTGGAGGAAGCGAAAGGGGCAATAATGCGAACCCTCAAAAGCATTATTTTCGCGTCCGAGCTTTATAGATATTTGAGCTTGAAAGCAGAGATTAAATTGAGGAGAGAGACGTACTTCTACACATCACCAATCTTAGCTAGTTCCGGAATCCGTTTGACTTGGAGGCTAGCTTCCAAGCGATACGCGCAGTGTGTTCCATGTGGTAGCGAGCTTCGCAAGAAATAGGACGCCCTGGACGCGTCAGTCAACGCAGTCAGCTGACCACACCAAGTGCAGTTTCCCACCTGTTTGCACACGATTATGGAGGCTTTAGATGATGCAATTTCGAATTTATGTTTTTAGTCTGGGGAAACCTGGGAAAGCGGGGAAACACATTTTATGGCAACAGGGATCAGCCAGCTTCAAAATCACGGCTAAGATCGATATTTGTACACTGCCGATCATCAATGCCGAAGTTAATTATAATTAACTACTACTATAATATTGTCCATCAAAATATTCCCCACTGTCCTGCAACAGATGATTGAATTTTCGTAAGAATAAAACTTTCCTACGTACATAATTTTATGATAGAGCACTACGTATTACAGGGGAGGGCTGTTGGAGAGCATGTCATATGGCGAGTACACTATAGGAGATAAGTTGGAGATAAGGCGTTGAGGCGTGGAAAGCGGCAACTTCGGGAAAGCTGGTGGAGGAACCGACAAAAAGAGAGCTTAGAAACAATGTATGATGTGAGGTGTGTGTCAGGCTTACAGCCAATGTCATACACCAAAACAGGGCAAATAGTCGAGACCACCGTCCATGTAAGAGAATGGAGCATCGTTCATATTAGCAGCCAACGAAAGACGAACAAGACAAAACCACATACCCGTAATTTTCACCCCTCCCGCCGTTGGGCCTAATTGTGCATCTCAAAACAACAGAGCAAACAAATTCACAACAAAAATCTGATGTAGGTTGGCGTATGCACTAAAACCATATTGCGTGCACTTTGAACATTTCAGTGTGCATACGACATCAAGTCCTGTCATTGTCGTTTGCTTAGCATGTTCTGTGTACATAAGTGAGTCGAAGAGGGCCAGAAACGCTGGAGTGGTAACAAACAAAGTAACAGCACATCAGGACACCACAAGTCTCCTCTTGATAAGACCTGCAATATGTCCACGACGAGCAAGACGACGTATAGCGGGTTTCGTGCCAGTGGTACTTATGAAACCGGTGGGCGAATGAGTGGGGGAAATATAATCGCAAAGAAGCACTCGAGCTCCGCCTTTCCGAATCCCAGGAATATCTATCAGACTAAATCAGTAATTGCCACTGAAGCTCTCAGAAGCCTACCTATCCACCTTTTCCACGGCCAGACATGCGGAAATGCCTCAACAATGATGTGGTTAACAGCATTGGTGTGGGGACGACGCGTCAAATGGAGGGGAGGCAAGCAAAGTCAGTGCTGAGACCCCTTGCGCTTGACACAAGGAATCGTCTTGATGGCGTCAAAGAGATACTCACGCTGGGCTGAGTTCTTGATGACTCCACCAGGAGCACCATACGTCGGCTGCTTGAACTTCATTAAAAAGGCGCTGAGGCAGGTTTTTGTCAACGGTATTGTCAGATGCGGCGAAGAAAATGATGTTCGATGTCGTGCATGAGGTTATTCCAGTCGTTCGTGAGATCCTCCTCAGCCATTCAAAAAGATGCCTCGCGTTTCTTATACATCTGCCAAATCTAAGTAGTAAGGACGCACCTCATCATCGACGTACTAGATGTCGGGTGACTCGGGCAATCTTGGGGCAATCTGGTGAGTTTGACGAAGAGCTTTCTTTGATACTTTTGATGGTATGTAAGATGAGCGTGCAACTTGAGACCATGGGAGGAAGAGAAGTAATTAAGAAGGTGGCCTTGGTAGAACTTCGAAAATGATTCAGACGCGACGCTAGAAATTAAAAGTTTCCAGTTTCAACGAAGGCTAGAAGGTGAACATGGTCGTTGTACAGTGACAAGACGAATAGGCGCGTTGGATTGCACACTTCGGCGATAATCGATAACCAGAGGAAAATATTTGATGGGCGATATTATATTAGTAGTTACATAATTTAATAATTATAGTTAACTTCGGCATTGATGATCGGCAGTGTACAAATATCGGTCTTAGCCGTGATTTTGAAGCTGGCTGATCCCTGTTGCCATAACATTTGATCTGTAAAAATAACAACCACCGATCGCGTTGCGCAGGTTTTGAAATAAAGTTGTCGCTTACAAGTGTGGGGCGATTCGGATATCTGGCGGGATTGGAGAACGACAGCAGTGCGTCCCTTGAGCACCCCGTGGTCACCGCGTCATACGGTCCATCGTGGCGCCATCGATATATATATTTATATCACCAGCACAAATGCGTGATGAGCTGTGGTGAACTCGTGTTCAAGTTTCGTACCCTCATGCCAGTCACCACGGACGGGGAAAGCGCAGAAAACCTAGCCGCCTTCACCTGAACGGTATCCATCTCTTGAAGTCAGGAAGCTCCTCAGATGGTAGGGAAAAACATGTCTATCATTCAATTTGACTTGAAAGGGGGAGTGGAGAAACACTACTTACGACCCATGCGGTGAAAAAAATAAAGGAATCTTGGCGCATACGCAGTCGAAAAAGTCGTGATGGCGGACCTGAAGCTTGAGGAACGAATAAAGGTGCCGTTCAGGAAGTGAGAACCGACGTACATAGAGGCTACTCTGGGCATACCATTTGCAACGAGAGCAAGTCTTATATCTCGCCCTATACTTATCATGCGCGCCAACAGCGTTGTAGTTGTGTCGAGGGCAGCCGAAGGTTTCATGGTGCTTTTGAGGTTGTTCTACTACGAAGTTGTAAAATTTGACTGATCCGAATTCCTTGAGCATAGAACTCACTCTGAAGTTGGCTCGTTGGTAAAACTTGAATAACTTCTACAAATCTAAAGTTCCAATCCTGGAGAGTATTGGGCCAAAATGCACGAGGAGTTGCGCACATCCACGAATAGCCTAAGCCATTTCTCAGAGAGAGTAGGTTCTGGTGGAAAGATAATTCTGAAAAGACTAGATTTGAGTATCTCCGTAGTCTTGCCGGTTGTAAAGCAATCATCTTTGTCCGGGATAGGCTTGACAATACATCACTGGATAATGCCATGTCTTAAGCATCGCTGACTCTCACTCTGTTGACGGCCAACGCCTATCCACATTGAACGATAGAGGGTCCAGAACTGGTCTACATACAGCCTCCTGGTCAAAGCCCAGTCAACCAATACATTATAATCGGATTTGACTACGAACCTACAAAGCAAAACGAATGAAGAAAGTTGGTCAAAGGAGCGGACGAAAAGGAACCGAAGCCCCCTTTGCACGAAATACATAAGTGATCAAAACTTCATTCCACGGGCTCCGAAAGCATGATGGCGCCTCTTCCAGTGTTCACCCCGTCGAGCCGGGGGAGTTTGGTCCGTGGCTGTGGTTGTGGTTGCTGTAGCGTTGATGTACGCGTCACAGACATGGGGATCGTTGAACTTTGTTGGGTCCTGAGTGAGGTACCCTCTCTTCAAGCCCTCCATGTACGACCTTGAGCCAATTGTGATGAGATAGAAAGAGGAAGGGCAGAAGAAAAGTACGTACCACTGCCTCGGCAAATCTGCAGTTAAAGTGGAGATCTCCAGTTTAAAATTCCAGAACTGCAACAATGTTAGTACGTGGACTACCTTAAGAGACAAGGGGGGAAAACACGTACGATCCAACCCGCATCTTTCCCATAGGCGAGTTTTTGTGCATCGGCCCACTGCTTCATGAATGTGTCGGAGGCATTGGCATTGAACTGGGTGGCGAGACTCCATTCTCCGAAGAAGAGTGGACTGTTACCGAGAGCTGCGTCGGTTTGGATCCTTTTTAAATCTGAAACTCAAGAGGTCAGAAAGTGGACGAAGACAAGAGACAACAACAACCCACTGCACATAGAAGTTAGGTATGCTTGTTCGTTTGCATCGGCGACGCCCTATACCGTCAAAGGTTAGTGCTATCCTATTGGTTTCCAGAGATGACACGTACACCATACCTGTTTGCGGAATGTTAGAGAGCAACTTCGTCATAGACAAAGAAAGAGACCTACGCGTAATACAAATGATTGTCGTAAATTTGAGGACCAATTGCTGCGTCCGCGGGGTTCGAACGGTTGTTGTATTGCCAGCTGACATCCATAAAGCTAAGTACGATAATAAGCCCTCTACCGCATCGACCACTTGGGTTGTCAACTCACTTGGTTACCAACGCAGTCCTTTGCTGCAAAATACTCCTCAATCCACCCTGCTGGAAGCGCGTATTCAGCACCAACTGCTGGGCGACCTGCGCGAAAATTGGCGCTGCATCTTTCAATACTTTGCAAACCTCTGGGTTGAAGATGTTCCGCAACGTAGCAGCAGCAGACAAAGCACTGGCGACATTCACTTGTGACGCGAGGATGGGAGGAACTTGACCAGAGACAGGTGCAATACCAAGGGTCAGTTCGACGGCACGGATGACTTGCACGAAGTTCTTCTGAACTAACGGGATTTTAGTTGCGATGAAGAGGTAACATGTGGTCGACATACAATCGCCGTAGCCGGGGGTTTTATTAGCATCCATGATCGGTTCGTTTATAGCTTCGATTGCCGCGACATTTCCAAAAGCGGGATCAAGGTGTGATAGTGCCGTCATGACGGCGGTCCAGATGAGAGCGCGGTGGTAATTGTACGGAGTCTGCATGCGGTAATGTTCATCGCTTGACAAAGTAAGGTGGGAAGTAGACAACGCACGTAAAACTGAACATCGCTGGTGCATCTATCAAAGATGTCTTGTCAGTGCTTATAGGGAGTTACGAGTAGCAAGTCCACGAACCTCCCTGCAAACATCTGATTGGGGGTAGAAACTCCAGGAAGAGCATGGTGGTCGAGAATGACAGAGATCCCTGCATCTCTAAGTTGTGTCAAGCCACGTTGCTGGATGACAAACGAAATGCTTGAGTATCAGAAAAACTAGAAAAGAACGTGAGAATTACCAATTGCAAAATGCCACCACGGGGGTAGAACTCCGTAGTCCTGTTGACAAGTGGTTCAATGATCCAGTAGCCTAACTGTGGCGATGCGTTAATACGTTTAACGGCAACAAAGGCGAACCCAAGCGAGTACTTACAGGCAGGCGGACGGTGTTCAGACCAGCTCCCTTAATCTGGTCAATGTCAGCTTGGTTGAACCAGGTCTCCCTGTTCAGTCGGACCTCAAGTAACAATTGAAGACACTCAAGCCTTGACGCACCAGTGTTGATTGAAGATCTTGTCCACGGTCTGGGGATATTTCTGGGCAAACGCACTAACGCGAACGTGAGTTGGAGAGCACGATATCATTTCGGGTGAACGCACAACTCAGACCCGATGCAAGTTCCACCACAATCCGATGTGCAGTAGTCGCCACCCATGCGCACCCATTCTGCTGCATGTAAGTAACTCTGCTGCTATTAAATTACATTTCCATACCATTTGGAAGCATCCATGGTTCCAACAGGAGCCTAGTCAATAGGTCAGAAAGAAATAAGACGTTAACGCATTGACGAACCATGAACCCAAGTTTACGCCATATATTTTACTCGGCAACCCAGCGTTGACGAGAGCTGCCGCTGTCAAGAAGGATAAATAGTAAAAGAGAGTGGGGGCCATGCTTAGCCAGACGTCTTGCAAGGAAGTGGGGGAAGGGAAAGTCGAATGAAGGAAGACTAAAGTCCTCCTCACTTTTAAACCCTGCCAGGTGTTTTTAAATTCGGGATTAGGGCGCTAGCTTCGCGACTTTCTCGCTTCCCGTGGCCCGACGGGACCCCGATGGAACAATATGCTGGAAATTTTGTCATGATGCGACAGTTTGCCGAAGTGTAACGTGGATGAGGATTGGGTTGGGCAAGTAGATGAAGCCTAGGAGCCTAATGCTTGGGCTGCTGAGGTGGATTTATGATTGGTGAAGACAAGGTGAAGATGAGGATTGGTGTCTATGTGAGTGCAACGCTAGCAATGTGTTCTCGTCAAGTTCTCGTCAAAAGGGCGGAAGAATGAGAAGGTGGCACTCAAAAGATCGTCTGCTCCTCGGGTTTCCTCGGCGCTTGTCAGTGCGTCCTTGCCTTTTCGAGCCTTCACTTTCCTGGCGATCAGATCAGGCACAAACAAAACGAACGCGTGACAAAGGAAACAGACATGCTCCTCCGCAGACAATACCCCAAAAAACCCACACATATGTCGCAGAAGGTGAAGAGGAGCTCAGAGTCATGCACCTTAACTTGAAGGAATAGGAGGCCCCCGGGATACACTACACAGTATGTTGGCGCACACAGAAGGATTCTGCCTCAGCGTCACATTGTGGCTCGACAGGGGAAAACATGCACATGGCACGCGAGGCGTCTATGCATCAATGACAGGGCCCAGTCAACATTTGGCAAGATCGATATCCGAGTCACTGACGTTGGAAAGAACGAGTCTCTTCCATCATCATCCTGGAATGGCAGCAGGTTTAGTTTATTCAAGCTTACTCACAAGACCTGGGATTGATAAGATTGAAGCAACTAGCAGATATCGATGTAGCTGGACGCTCACTGCAGCGCTCAATGTCAAAACTTTCCTCCCGGCGCGAAAGTTGAACTCATTCCGATTGTCAAATTCAAATTCAATTGCGCCTCGACCCAGCCTCAAGTCCGTACCTAAGGCTTTAACGAAGGCCCTTATCATTCACATCTGGCGAAAGGTCTCGTCTGAATGTGTGGGATCCTGTGTCACGATCACGGCATTTCTCTTTTCCGTCCGCCTCTTTCGTGCTTCGCTTTCTTTCGCTCTTGCTCATCTTCATTGTCCGCTTGGTGGGACTTCCATATCAATTTTCCATAGGTACGCAGCAGAATCGTGCCGATGCAACAGCGGGCACTGTCATGTGACAGGATCGTGTTGACTGCAGTGTATAACGGGATGTATGTCCGTCATCCAGTGGATGATATAAATAGCGAGCGTTCTAATGCTTAGCCGCACGTCCACCTTGCGCATACTACCCTGTTTCCCCTCCCGACACCATTTCTACACCCAAGATGACTTTCTGCACTACTTTTTTTCTTTTCGGCCTCTTAGGACTTACTATCGCGACCGTGATTCCCCGTGCAGACCCAATTACCGCGTTGTCGGCCTCCCAAGTCGCCGCGTTCAAACCTTTCTCGTATTACGCTGCCAAAGCATACTGCCAGCCCGCAGCAGTTCTGAATAAGAGCTGTGGAAGTGAGCACCAATCTTTACACTCTTCAGTAAAGACATTGTCGACAATATTCAAGTTAATTGCGATGCAAACACCGCATTCCAACCCATGGCGGCTGGTGGGGATGGGTCGGCAATACAGTTTTGGTATGTTGGAATCGACCCCAGCCTCAAGGTACGCACATGGTTCAGCGTCAAACAACTAGCCGGCTATTGCTTATGATTGTAGACTGTTATTGTTGGCCATCAAGGCACAGACCCCAACAAAATGTGATCATGTTTCTGTTCCTATCTCAAGCCCACGGCTGACTTCGGCGCAGTGTACCCCTGCTGACGGACGGAGGTTTCTTCCTGGACCATTTAAACCAAACTCTCTTCCCAGGATTGAACTCATCCATTGAGGTCCACAATAAGTTTGCCGATGAACATGCAAAGTAAGAATGTTTTCTCTGTCAGATCTTCATCTTATTTGAGATTTTTATATGTAGGACAGCGAACCAAATTCTTTCCGCTACGCGCGCTGCTCTGCAGAAGTCAAATCTTACGCAGGTTACACTTGTCGGACATTCGTTGGGTATGTTATGTTTCAGCCTCCCTCAATTCACGTATTAATTGTTGGTATTAAAAAGGTGCGGCGCTCGCACTCTTGGACAGCGTGTTCCTGCCGCAGTTTTTGCCTGGCATCCAATTCAAAACGTTTGGATACGGTCTGCCTCGAGTGAGTATAGCCGTTTCCGCCGCAAGGCAGATAAGTAATGAAAAACCTATAGGTTGGGAATCAAGCCTTTGCGGATTATGTAGATGCAAATGTCCAGCTCAGCCACGTCAACAACAGGTAGGCGAAAGAGCAATGACCCATTGCTGTTCCATTAACATTTTTCAGACAGGACTTCGTCCCAGTTATTCCGCGTAGGTTTCATTTTTGACATACAGTTACGTGGCTAGACAGCTATTTAGTCAGGACTCTTGGTTTTGTTCAACCCCAAGGAGAGAAACACATCCAGGATAATCTTACTTGGCTTGATTGCCCAGGTTAGCACAATAACTGGGTTGAAAGGCTGTTCTAATCCACCTTGTCGTCAATCAGGAAACGACAACCCCGATTCTCGTTGCTCAGCGGGTGATGTATCAAGTGTCTCGACTGGCAATCTCTCTAATCATGATGGTATGGGATACGACGCCAGATATCAAGTCCTTATCTCATAATCTTCAACCAGGCCCGTATGATGGAGTAGAAATGGGTGGCGCTACCTGCAAGAACGTTACTGGAACAGCCGGCATTGCTACTGCTGCAGCCAGTACTATTCATGCAGGATGCGGGGCGTTGTTCCTTTTGGCGACTGCCTTTAGTTTGCTCCCCCTCCAGCTTCTGTAGTCGACGCTTCCTCAACGAATCACTTGTACAATTGACCAGTTGGCATATGAAGGTCAATGGCGACATTTTGCTGCTCAACGACGTTGATAACTCTAAGCTCCGGAGTCCTTCTGCCTGTAGGGCCATCAAAATTACGGGTCACAAACGGAGAGAACATAACTTTCGAGACGGCGAAAGAGGCTCGTCATAGAGTTGACGACAGAATTCAACTCCATTTGGCCGACATATTTTATACGCTCCTCCAGACTCCCATACAATTATCGCGGGTTGAGTTGAAATTACTTTTTGGATTTTTTGGATGAGGGCCTTGTCCTTGAACGCGTACGACCCGGTAGCAAATTTGAATCAGCTACTGAGACAACCGCGACCCGCCTTCGAGTTGGCTACGTAGGTCAAGACAATGAAGAAGGCAATGATAATGATGGGCTGCTCATGGGCGACGTCGAGCATCGGGAGATGGAGACAGCAGGAAGACTGGTCCCGTCGTCGGTTACAAGCTTGTTTACAGTTTCTGACGCGTTCACTTCAAGCGGAGAGGGTTCGATAAGCCAAGAACTTTGTTATAATAACATGTCAATGTCCCTAATGTCCCTTCGGTGATACTCTGCGAGAAAGATCAAAATACAACCAAAAAAACACAAGCGAATGATTGATCTTGAATTAGGCCAGTGGGCGAAAGCCCCATTTCGTGACTAACTGAAATCATGAGTGTCATTGCACTAGTTTGAGCTGCACATATGTAAGAGGATAAGAGACCGCCGCCAAGAGCCTGTAGAATACGCGTATGAGATTTGCGGAGGCCATTTGCGAAGGTATGCACCCTCGTGGGAATTTCTGCCCTCTTTCCATCATCCACGCACTGCGGCAACGCCAGCAGGTTTAAATCACGCTTCAGAGGTTAATCTGCTCACCTTTGGCACGCCGTCGACCTATCCAGTGTGCACCAAATGCGCGGGACACTTTAGGGTTCCCTTCTATGGCGGTTTTTTGATTTCGTTGGTCCTCCAGGCTCCCTCCGAGAATCGGATTCGACCCTTCCCTAGCCACTGGCGTCCTTCAGGCGTCCGCGACGGCGTCAAGGCTTTGTTAATTTGGTTAAATTGGTTAAAGTAACCGCATATGCGTTGATCATGACTGAGCACCATCCTGACGTGATACCGCAACTTCAAGTGTAGCCCTGACCTTCCGAATGGCATCGTCAAAACGTTCGTTCTTGTGCCTGTCTCCGCTGCCGACGTTAATTTCTAACTGGTGGATTAACAATAAAGTGGAGCTTTATGCTTATTATTGCTACCAATCGAATGCCGTTGTAACGATTTCACAAAGATGCCACAGCAGGGTCTCTTGCAGCGTCCTTCGACTTCAAGGACAATTATCTGGTCACGTCTTACAATCTGGTGCACCACTTGTCATATTCTCGAATCGTGCCGCTATAATGCCACTGATTATGTTCCTGTCCCTATCCTTGCGCCATGGAATAGCTTAGATTCCTCCACTGCTGACCAACATTTTTCGGGACCTACCCAAACACTTTTGATTTCGTCCCCGGATTTAGGAATGCTTTCCAGAGCTGCCGATACTCCCCGCATTTTACCCAGTGTACTCCGGTGACTCCGTCCATTCACCAGGCGCTGTCCTGATACGCTTGAAGGTGATTTTAGGTCAATGTCAGCCTTTCACAAACTTGACAAAATTTATCGGCCGAAAACAGCCCACGATAAAACTGCCGGGGAAAACACGTTCGTCGCGCGAAGTTGTGCCAGCTGACCTGCATCTGCGCTAGTCTTTCGTGAAACCCTCATCAACGATCGCTGTACGGGAACAGTACTAGGTCTCGGATCTTATTTTACGACTGATGGACCTCCGGTACTCTTTCCACCCCAAACATACAGGTCAAAAACGAAAAATCTTCACATGAATTTGACAACTACGGAACATTTGATAGCTCTCGACAATGATCCTTCGATGATTATTCCTGTATTGTCAATTCTGAATCAGGCAAGTCTGTTTCTTTTTGTAGGTAATTAATTCATCTTGATGACCCATTGGAAATTAAGAGCGCATGGATGCCTGCACACAACTCTATCACGGACCCTCTTCCCTGCACGCACGGCAGGAATCTCGGCGTGAGTCACTCACCCTTTCAAGGGCATGAAGATGTGATGAGAGGCTTCTTGGCCAAACGGGTTGCTCGGACTCTGATAGTCCAGACTTCTGCGGTTCCTCCCTGCATATAAAACAAGATCCGTGACAAGTCCTAGGTCCAGTGTGTCCTTCTAGCTCGCATTGCAAAGGCAATGCAAAGGTGTTTCCCCGCGACCGACAATGATCATCATGATCGAAGACGCGTGGCGAAGGTTCTTGAGCTAACCATTCTCATACAATGATACATATCGCAACATACTTTACGATCTACATCTTACCCTTCGTGAGTGATTGGCGAGATCCCTGATTTCTCCAGCGCCAAACGTTAACGACTAACCATTTCAGGTCACGGTTCGTATGTTTTCTTTTGCAGGTTCCCTTTTTTGTCTTTTGGAATCGTTTCGTTATCGTATTTCTCTAGGTCCTTCACACGTTCCTTTTGAGGTATCCACTCGATTCGCGCAGCTGAACTGGAACAAAGGCGCGCCTTACTTGACATCGGCGTTGTCGATACCTCTCCACGCGCGGAGCCGCTCCTCCTTCAAATAGATTAACATCGCAACGCGATAACGCGCGTTGCTAGCAACATGCTATTGGATAGCCGCACTGCTTGCCACAAGCAACTGCAACTATCTGATAAGACGCTATCAATTTCCCCACCCGGTACGGGATTCAACCTACCGTTTGCCTATCGCCCCATTCTCACGAATCCAGGGAAAGATATCGAAGGACGTACTTTTAGGTACTTACTTATGAGAGTATCCGACTCGGCAGTTATCTATGAACGCACGAGTCGCGGAGTGTTCCTGCACAGCCGGATTCCTATTGCGTCATCCCCACTCCAGGTTCGTCTTCGAAGCAAAGTACATAACGTTAACCAATCCGACGGAGCCCTACGATATTCAATTGAGTTGGCGATTCTCGGGTAGAAACGCTGTATTGTTTACCCATTTCCCAGCTCTATCTTCGGCGATGCGCTTCCCAAGATCCAAGTTCTTCCCTGGTAGACGAGACCTCTGGCGACCTCCCCAAGTCCTCGTATTTTTGGATACATAGGGGCTCCCGGATCAGGCCCTTTTTTCACGCTCGACGTCATGCGTGTCAATTTACCGGTCTTCTAGTCTTGATGGATCGCCTGAATTGTCTGTTCTTTCTCGCGCGATTTCCTGCCGAAGCGACGGGTTTTGACGACAGGCTGGGTAGTCTCACGTTTATTTCATGGACTCCACGTACATGTTATTAAATGACAACGACGTATACTCTGTCAAGAAGGGGCGTAAAATCCGACGATCCCGATGAGGTATCAAGTCAAGTATGAATAGGGGCACAAAGGGATGACCAGAGTATGTAGGACTTCGAAGTCGACCATGCTCAAGAATTCGCAGGTAACCGGACGTCGGGGCACTCGATTATTACGCAAACCCGTCTGGATTTTAAATCAAGTGAAGGCTTGAACGTGGAAGCTTATGTACTATATTCTGGCATCGACCGACGACGCGACGGTTGACGGAATATTAATGATGCCTATCGACACTGCCGACCCTTCTCCACTACGGCTGGGCATACTCCTCTAGCCTTAGTCTGGGACTGACCGTATAAACCTCCAATTGACGACGCTGAAGATCAAGACCCCCCATGTGCAAAATAATACTACACACGCACCTGGTTACCTGCGCATTCTCAAGGTCTTTGTACTTACTATGGAATGACAGGTCTTCGACTCTCGTTATCCTTCTATACATGTGCTAGCCTGAGCTCCTATCCGTATCTGTGGTGACATTCGTACCTGGCGCCAGGTTACCTGCGAAATTCTTGTGGGTTCCCCAGGGCCCTTGTTACGCGACTTTTCATTCGATTGAAAGCTTGAATGCAAGGGATGCGTATGTTTTGGAACTAATTCCAGTTGACGAAAGAATCAATTCGTCGGGTAGTTGCAAACAAAAAAAATTCGCTGCGCAGTTAGTAAATTATGGGGGTACTTGGGAGAACCTGTGGTACCGCAAACAGCATGGTGGATCGTCGGTTTAGAAAAGTAATCTAGGTTAGAAAACCTTATGTGAAGTCATCCACTATAGCGCAGGTAGTTTTAATGATTTCATAAAAGCTTGAATGCAAGGGATACGTACTATACCTTAGAAACGACTCCAGGATATTCCCATTTTTTTTAAAAATCGCCCCGCAGTTGATAAATTATGGGGGGGGGGGGGTTGGAGCCACTTCCCTCCAAAGGAAAAATGGCATTGCCAGGTTTCTATAAATACCCTCTCACTTTCGAAGAGATGGTGGAGTTGGGACAGGATCCCGGGCCTTCCGCTCCGCTTTTTGAAGAAGGCTCCAGCATAGATGTACAAGATGATCCTCCAGCAATGAATGGACTCTGCACCTGTGGTAACTAAAGCGCAGGTAATTTTAATGATTTCATAGAAGCTTGAATGAATGCAAGAGATGCGTTATATTTTGGGAACCGACTCCAGTCGATGAAGGTCGGAGTTAATAAATTATTGGGGAACTAAAGTGCACGCGATATTAGTGATTTCATAAAACCTTTCCAGCCTTCGGTGCACCTTCAAGTTGACAGACGGCGCATATGGAAATTACGGAGGAGACAGGACAGGAGACCAAGGTTCGGCCGACCAAGTTGCGCTTGATTCAGAACCTCTTTCGCATCCCTGCCTGCCCTTCCAGATGTGCGGTTTTGGCGTCGGTACCCTTCCATCCAATGTCCATTTTATTCAATTCGAACAAGTGGGCTCTGACCGCCCCAATCGTTTGAAAGGAAGTGGTAAAATAGCATGAATATCCACCTCGATCGTGAACCTATTTAAATTTCCAATTCCCGGGAAATCGTGCGGAGGTATAATTTGAACTGCATCCGTCGATGGTCCAGGGTTTTGGGGCGACACAAACGACTCGGAGGTTTGGTGTTCAATGTCCAGTCTTGAAGGATATACGAACTGATGTTGAAATCAAGTAGTGCCTGGCAAAGGCGAAGCAAAAGAGCCCAAGATGAAATAACACAACAACGTCCCTCTTGCCTGACTCGCGACGTCGTGTAGCTCGCACCCCCGCACACTATGATTTTGAGGGCACAAAATGGTAACCCCCAATCACAGCCAAAAACCCTAGCTTGGGATGTGCTGAGGGGTACATACATAAAGGGGCTCGACAACCCCTGCATACCAAATGTTGAATTCGAAGGTGGCAGATACTGCCGGACACAAAGGGTAAATGACGCCCGACCGTCGCAGTGGGTAAATAATGCCCGACTAGGTACTTCTTCAAGGTGGGTTGGTATACCTTCAGGTTGTTCGTTCACCCGACCCATACAAGCAGAGGGGTACTTTTGGGGTTTACGTTCAAGTACTCTTGCGCAGAGACAGGAGGTAAGTAATTAAAAGACGCCCTCTGAAGTTTGAACGGAGACGAAGCAAAAGCTCCGTTGACGCGGTGGCGAGTAATTTTAAGGTGGAGAGTGGTTTGGACAGGGGAAATGTTTAATATCGCTCGCTATTAGGTTGGTCAGTCAAATTAAATTTGGTCCTTTTTCCTGAGTGGTGGTCCTGGCTGGTGCGATGTTCATCCCTCGAGAGGATCCACGGAATCAGAACAGATCTAAGCGGGAGAATGGAGACGAAGAAACACATATCCGCTGCCATTCCGTGCAAGACTCGCGTTGTAGGATCCAAGGTCCAAAAATAGATAAAGGAGGGGAGAGTGGTGGTACGGTTGAGCTTGAACTTTGAAAGATGCTCTTTGAGAACTTGCGCTTGGGAGTAGCCTAACGTCGCGGAGTGATTGACTCTTGAGTGTGTGCCTTTTGAGCGCCAGGGAGACACGTGGACTGGTTAGAGTCTCGAGAAGTCCTGCCAGTCCAGAGGAAGAGGAGAGCGGATATAGAATGCGAGCATGCAGGAAAAAAAAAAATGGGGTCGGACCGAAAAGCAGGACTAATCGAGCAGATGGCCGCTCAGGAACGGACAAAAGAGGCAAATTGTCCCTTGGCAGGGATGTTGTTCACGGAGCCAGATTGACCAAAGATTGCAGCAGATTGCGCTTGTTGGGTATGTATACGGGGACCATGAGGTGCCGACATGTGGACGGGCTTTTACGTGTTGGGATAGGAAAGAAAAAAAAAAGGACTGGACTGGATAAAATTGAAATTAATGGAGGGAGTGCGATTGATTTGGGAGTGATTGTGTGTGAAAAGTGAGTAAGTAATAGCTAGAGTCTATAGTCTACGAGCCCTGCACAACTACCTTGACTGCTGCTACTGCAGCTGCCATCTCCCATATGGATACGTATACGATGGACACACACTATACTCAACGCCAACAACAATGGCCTCCTCATCTCATGCCTCCTCAAGCGTCCTTCCCATCCCCGCCTCCCAGCGAGCACGGCGGTGGAGGAGGACACCACTATCCACAATACTTTGACCGTCCACCAAATGAACAGCAGTTAGGGCGCACATCCTCCTCGCTCTCCCTCAACCTCTCCTCCCTCACCGTCGCATCTCCAACCAATCTCTCCCCGATCAATCCACCACCATCGACTACATCATTGGCTCCCGCAACACCCATCAGCCCATCCACGAACAACAACAACTCTTTCAACGCACACCAGCAGCACATCGCCCAGTCGCCCTTCCAGTTCGATCCCCATCAACCCCCGTCCTCCTCTGGCCAACAAAGCCCAAATACCCACTACAACGACGACCACAGCATCCTTAACAATGCCCCTCCCCCACCACCTCCCTCAGCAGGCGGGTACGACCCTTCAAGGCGGACCCCAGGCCCATCACGCAGTTCCTCCTCTTCATCATCTCAGCTCCCGCGCAAAAGGAGCTTCACCTCCAACGCGTCGTCCACCTCTATCCTGGTGGAAGAAAACATGTTCGACGAGGCCCGTGATACCGCGATGGAGATGAACGGCGGCGGCGCGTATGACGATGGCACTAGTGCGTATGGCGCTGTTGGTGGTGGAGGGAGCCCGGTGGATGGGAGCGGCAGCACGAGCGGCGCGGAGGACGTGTTGGGTGCAGGCCCCAATGGTCTCGTTGGTATGCAGGGACTTGGAGGTATGGCGGGGAGTATGAACATCCTAGGCAAGCCGATGGCGACGAATAATTTCGTCACCAAGCTGTATCAGTAAGTTCTTCTCTTTCCCTCTGCTCTTTCTTGGTTTCACTTTTTATACATACGCCGCTTATCAGGCACTTTTTGCGTTTCGATCATGATAGTTATAGTGACTCGTCTCATCCCTTGATGCACAACCCACCCCCTATTCTGACGTCGTTTCGTTTCGTCGTTTTTGCTTCCGCTTTGTCTCCGTTTAACCGTTCTGCCTTGTGCCCTCTCTATCTTCCTCAGTGACATGTCTTCCTTCAGTAACATACCTTCTCTTCTTCCTAAAAATAGTTTTTATGACCGCAGCTAATCGCACCTTTTTTCCCATGTAGGATGATCAACGACCCAAAATCAACACACTTCATTGCATGGACCGACCTCGGCACCTCCTTCGTCGTCTCCAATGTCGGTGAGTTCAGCAGAAGCATCCTGGGCTCGCACTTCAAACACAATAACGTACGTTTCTCTCGCTTCTCTTGCTCGATACTAACCCACCCACTTAATAACAGTTCTCAAGTTTCGTACGCCAACTCAACATGTACGGCTTTCACAAGATAAACCGGGTACGACCTCTTCCTCCTCCCTCCCTCCTCTTCCTCTGTTGTCGTTAATAATAAGTTTGTCACCCAGACCCCCCGCGCACAACGCACCTCAACAGACGCGCAGACCTGGGAATTCTCACACCACAAGTTCCTGCGTGGTCGCCCTGATCTGTTGGATGAGATAAAGCGGAAAGCGCTGGAGCCCGATCCGGCTTTGAAGCATCGGGTTGAGTTGCCTGGAGAGGTCAGTCGGTTCTCGCGCTTGTTTTGCATGGGTCGTTTCTCATCTTGTTAACTACTCTAGGTCGCAGCACAGCTAGGCGCCATGCGCGACGAGAACAGAAGGCTATACGAGCAATTCGCAGCTGAACGACGAAAATCGGAAAAATTGGTCAATGTCGTTGGGAGATTATGGGATGTTGTGGGGAAGGGGTTCCCCGGTTCTCGTGAGTTCCCCCATCTCTCCCCTTCCTCCCCTCCTCTCTCCTCCTCTCTCTCCTTTTCCCTTTATAACAAAAACAAAGGCTTACCCGCCCCACGCAGTCCCCCCATTCCCACAAGACATCCTAGAACCAGAGAGTCCAAATATATACATAACCTCACCGACATCGTCCCTACCCCCTCGTTTGTCGATGAGCATCTCGAATCCCTCATTGCATTCTATGCATAGCCCGAATTCGAGCCCGACGACTGTGGATTTCCCATCTCATATTCCGGGCCACCATCACGCACACCACGCACACGCACATCATGGCGGGCATCATCA